ATTTGCATGAATACTGCTGATCAGGCAGCAATGAATCAATGTCTCTCTCGACCCATTTTTACCAGCAACAACTTTTCCAAGTCACACAAAAGCCCCGTTTTGTGGATTGGGGTGCACTAGAAATGTGAGCTGGTAAGAAATCATTAAATGTTGTCATGACTCTGCTTAAAGATGGCAGATGACTTCAGTGTCAAGCAGTACTGCAAAGCAATGTGTGTCTGTGTGGAAACTCTAACATCTACTTTATGTGTGTGTCAGAGGAGAGCATATAAATGCGGAGGTGTTCATGTTGGTGTGCCAACCGCCTTCTGCTCTGACTCTGAATGGCACGGCCTCTGGATGTGCAATGAGGCGGAGAGGACCTGCTACTTCCAGACTCGAATGGCGCTGAAGACGTGATATTGATTCACTTGGTGGAGATGTTTTTTTTTTTTTTGCCAGTGAAAACTCACCCAAACGTGAAAAGAATGGTTGCAACGGTAATCCCTATAAAATTTGTTCTGTGAGGACGAAAGGACAGCCCCCTCGCTGCTGAAACAGGGCAGGAAATATCTGTTGCCGTCTCCCTAATTTGCATTTAATTATGGTTGATCCACGGAGATTTGCATAACAGGTTGCACTCGTCAGGTACATGAACAAATAAGTAGATAATCAATCAATGCAATCATCAATCACACACTTCATCTTTAAATGTCACCCCCCCAGAAAATCATTATCCTCTAGATTGGGCTGTTCATTATGGTGAGGCGACTTGGGAGGGCCACAAATAAACAAGAAAACAGATAATCTACTGATGCATTAACCATAATCTGCTTCTTAGTCAATCAAATGTTCATTTACTACCTCTGAGCAGGTTTTTTCACCCCTTAGAGAACAGAACAGACTGACAGCACACACCCACACATGCACACCAGTGGGTGGATTTGTGCCTAATAGAGGTAGCTCACTACACAACAACCCTCAGCTATGGAGACAGACATTCATGCGCAGCAGCAGCGGCAGCAGCACTATACTGTATGAGAGGATATCTATGGTCTCCCTGGGGCAGCATTCGCCAAGAAAAGCCTTATGCAGCATACTGCATGCCAATTGGCCGGTGAGGTCATGGGGGATATGTTTTCAGATGGTCTAACTTATGCTGGAGCTCATGTGAGAAAGCCTCTGCAATCCACGTCTGGGCAGGGAAACAGGGAAAGCAGCCCTGAGAGAGGAAGTTAATGAGATGAAGTCGGCGTGCCTCCACGCAGGTCGACACAATGGCACATGGCAGCGTCTCGGCAGCGTCTCACCTGGGCTGCTCGGGGGAAGAGCAGCCGGACGTCTGCTACTGCCAAAAATAAGCTCTGTTGTGTCAAGGAGGTAAACTGATGCTGCAACATGACGGTAAAATGGTATCGACAAAGCAGTGAAATGGGGCCTCAGTCTGCCTGCTTTATGAGACCAAATGGAGCTGGTGCATCTGCTGAAGTGGATCACATTCTGACTGAAGCTGGTAGAAATTCTATTTTGTTGGGTAAATGCTTGTGTAGCCCGAGTCCAAACATCCTGACCAAACATTGATGCTGTTATGGACCGTCTAACTAACACATCTGTGTTTGTGAATGTGGGTATGTGCTGTGATACCCTTTTCCTACAGAGTCTGCCAATGTTAGAACGCGATAGCTCTTGGGTGACAGCCTTGATGCCATGGCAACACAGAAAACGTCCGTTTTGGGGCGAGATGTAATCAGCGGCTCATTTTCAGATCACCTAATAATATTTAGAACAAAGTGTCTTCTCTGGAGGAAAGGACCTCGACAATTGACATTCTGGTTGAAGGCCAGAACAGACTTTTTGTCTGTGTTGTGCCATTTACAACCCTGTCATGGTGACAAGAAAGGAGATTGTACACTCAGCTAATTTTGTATTGGATTCAATGTTTGGAGTGACTGAATCATTACTGTTTCTCCAATCTTGCGTGTAATAAAAACCTAAATGGCTTGTTGTAGAACTCTGATGTAGTTCAGTCAGACAAGCTCGTGTGAGAATGTGTGTGTATCTGTGTATGTGTGCCAGGGGTATAGCATACTAAGCAGACCCCACTGCATCAACAGAAGTGCTGTTCATCAGCATTTACAACTCCCCCCGTTGTAATTCCAAGTGTTTTCCTTCACACTGTATCACAGGAAATTCAGTGATACCTTGATATGCTGGATATCTCCTGACTGGAGCATCAGGCCAACAAATAAACAAACAAACAAGCACCGAAAAACACTCTTCATATTTTAGAAGCTGTCTTGTATTAAAGCAGGAGGCTGAACGGGCCAAATTTAAATGCTGATCACTGACTTTGGAACTTGCACTTTTGTGACATGCCCTGATGTGAAGGGTTTATGACCAGGGATTTTCTTCCAAAAAGAGGAATGCAGAATCCGTGAGCACCACCTCTGAATGTAAATACGGCCTACTCAAGTAAATATTCTGCACAGCATGGGCACGCTGGTCTGTAGGTTTTCAAATATGCCAATTCACAAGTGCAATTTCAGCTACAGGAAGTGTAAGAAAAAGCAAAATCCTTACCTCTCTTTGTGAAAACACTACGCTCTGTTACATTCTATTTGTGGCAGAAACAGGGACAGCCAAAATAAAATCCACGATCACTATATCCACTGACTCACTTTCCCCTTTTCAGACCCTCAGGATCCTGTGTTTTCTAGCTCACACAGCAACAAAATGGCTAAATAATGCATAATCGTCTCTCTACTTATTGTGTTGTGTAATCGAATAGCAACTCTCATACAGTACACACAGACACACACACACATGGGCCAGGTGTGTGTGCCTGCAAGTGTGTGACTGTCAAATCATCTCAGTGTTCCAAGTGTTAATGAAAGCACTTCCTCAGCAAAAACAAAAGCTTATTTTGTGGTGAAGAATTTGGGTCAGTGAATGTAGAGCTAGCCTGCAGAGCAGCCTCAGTGTTCAGGAACCATACTTCACTTCTCTGCTATCAGTGAAAGGTAGCAGCATATAAGCTACATCACTGAGTCCATTAACATAGCAGTAAGAGCAAATTGAAGCAGCAAAATGAGGCGTGGGCCTGATTTCACTGGTGTAGCAGTGACAATGGTGCCTCCGGCCCTTATGAATAACAAGACATGTGATAACTAACATATAAGACAAGACCGTTACACGTCGTCCTCTATAAAAAAATCACTAGGACTATATTTTCACCTGTCTTCATCAGTCACCTGGCAACATGTCTCCCTGCCCAAATACTCATCCTAAATGTTATTACTTAGGCTAATTTTTTAAACTATCACACCTTAATGACTGGTGAGTAATTTGCATAGCCTATCAACTCGGGTTTAACCACAGCAAAGACCAGCAGATAGCCTGTCACGTCCTCTGTGCTGAGATAATGCACAATAAAACAAAGAATCTGAAATCAGTCTTATCCTGCACGCATCCCGGAGTGGACTGAATAATGGCCACATTAGGCATGATTCTCGGTTTCACCTGTAGGGAGAAAAAAACATCAAAGAATGCAGCCAAGTGGGGACTAAAAATAAAATTGCTATCTGACGGCGTTCCTTGGCTATTGAGGAGCTTTTTTGACCTTGCGGTACAGGTCCTGGGCTGGTGGGTTACAGCCACAACCCCCGCTCACAAGGGAAAATGTGAACCCTTTCAGATGGGTCCTAAGAGAAGTACTTCAAGGCTATACTGCGCCTCTTGAAAGACAGTTCCCCAAAAGAGTTCAGAGGCTACAATTCACACCAATTGTAGCCAATAAAATATTGAATTTACCTTGCAGATGAAACATGAAGCCAAGTCAAAGGAGGGTGGGTTTGAGCGTAGGCTATATCCTCCAGGGAGTGCTGAGAGCATTCTCGGAGTGGCTCGAATAAAAAGGGGACCGACGGTGCCTCTTGGAGATAATTCGGGTGTCCCGAAACACGCGCCTTGGCTGCTATAACAAGTGACGGCCTGCGAAACCAGCGGTGCCCTTCAAGAAATCCATGACCAGCAGATAAAGGACGACTCCTCTCCGATCCACTCACAACGGAGAAATGTAACTCAGCATCCCACCAGTCGAGGAAAATACTGGTAAACGCAACCTGAAGGGTCCCGGTGTGGCTGCAGCTGTGCGGGATCGCCTCTACTGCGCATCCGCCTGTATGCCCCTCCAGAAGAGAAAACGCCTTTGTAGCGACGGGCTGCTTTAATATCTACAGCGCTGTGAGTGACTGGTGCTGTGCTGAATCCAGCCAGATGTTCGTATCGCTTTCACGGGGTTTTGCTGGCGACGCAGGGCTCAGTGCGAGTTAATCCAGATTGACTGAAAGGTTGCTGCCATAATATGCCCCCCCTCCTGCCCCCGGACTACTGTCAACCACCGGCCCGGCTCCATTTCTGACCAGAGGTGCTGTGCTCGGAATGGTAATCAGTGCGCTCCGAGCTGCACAGAGACCATTTGTGTGCACAGACAGATGCAGTGCCTCCCAGCCTATCTCACAGGCAGGCATCATCATTTATTCATGTCGATTGAACTCTACGGCACGAAAATGCAGCAGGCCTATAATATTTCCTTCAAATTAAATTAAAAAAAGAAGAAGATAATTGTTTATTGGATTTGGACATAGCCTATAAAAGATGAAAAATAAGTCGGGCAACAACCAGTGTAGGCGTAAACAAGTAGCCTATGTTAATGAAAATCTATTACTTTATAAAACCTTTGGTGCATGGTACATCTGGTCTGAGTAAAGCCATATATAGCACCGTATAGCTGAATATTCCCGCATGTAGGCCTGACTATTACATAGATTATTGGCAAGAAAGTGTTGAGCTGGCTGAAACTGAAAGCCCTGGCTCCCCGTGGGTCTGCTTGGCACTCCACCCATCACTATCTGATGCAATGATCCTATGGCCTTTTGTGCAAGTTGGCGAAGAGGCATATATGTTCATAAGTCTATTACAATACACCGGCGCAGTACATGGATTCGCAGACTCAGTGCTTTTTAAAAATTATTTATTCCTGATAAGAACAATGACTTATATTGCTCCCAGAGCTGCCTGGCACTTTTAAAGAGGTGTTCGTCATCATCCACAGAATTACCCTGAGGATTTCTACTCCAGATCAATACTTCCATACAGCACATCCACTTGAGATCAATAGGAATAGCTTGGTTTAAGCAAAGTTATACAGAGCTGGGACGACAAGAACATTGAAACTGTTTATCATAGCGCAAATTGTGTGCGCAATATTGCACTCAGTCTTTGTTGTGTCACTCTGTTTGTGAGATCACCCAGTGGCCAGACGTTTTCAGAACTGATTTTCAGTCTGAACACATATTGGCTACCTGCACAAAAACCTAATGCCTGATTTCACCAGACAACAACGGCACACAAGCATTTTGCCGGTGGGAAGCGTTATTGTCGAGGTCTGCACGCGCCCCCTCTGTGAGTGTCTCATTGGAGTCATCATGAGCTGACAGTTGGCGATATGAAATGACACTGACATCTCTTGATTTTTTGCTGTGCTCCTTTACTGTTGTGATTCATGTCGGGCTCTCGCCTCTCGCTCACTGACGCGCGTCCTCCAGGAACCGCTGGTAAGCGAGGCTGTCCGCCTGTTCACCTGTCCGACTCTTTTTCTCCAAGAACAGGCCCATGTTGTCCCGTGGAGGGTCAGCGATGCTGCGACTCCACAGGGTCTCTGTGATCCCCAGCAGCTCGCGCACACGGGCAGAGATGACCTGCAGAACGCACAGCAGGGTTGGGTCCTTTGATAAAGTATATTTTTACAGTATCTAACGTTTATTTAATAAGGTAGTCCCACTGAGAGTGAGAGACTTTGGAGGAGAACTCGCCAAGAATGTGGCATCATGGGAAGAAAGGTTGCAAGGTTACACTCATGCATCAAACAGGCTAAAGCAATATAGGCCTATATTTCGACTAAACAGACGATTCTTTACTGAGTCTGCCTGTCTCGAGACATTTCATTATCAGTTTATGCTTCTACATTAATGCAGAGCTGAATACATAAAGGCACTTTTAGCCAATTTAGTTCTGACCTCAGAAAAACTGCCCCTTTATATAGGCTACACATCATGTATCCTATGTGATGTGGCTGATCTGAGGTGTCTGCTGGCAGTGATGCTGGGTTACAACACATAACTTTAATTGGATGTCACAGTGTTCAAAGAAAGAGGGATGGAGTGAGTTGGCTGCAGACTATAGATACCAGTTCTCTGGTGTTCACAGCAGTCCACTTGCTTACTGAAGAGACATTTACAGCTGAGGAAACAGCTAACAATTATTTATTGCAAAGCACTTTGTAATTAGCCTACTATTTCTAATAGGTTAATCTTTTTATTGGTTTTTTTCCCTTTTTGACTACCTTACCTTAAGTTGGCGAGCTCAAAGTGATGTCCAGTAAATTGGTATTTTTACTTGTTGAATTAGGCTACTTAAATCATAACCACTTATCAAAATGTAAATAAATTAAGACAAACTCCTCAAAAAAATGTTTCAGCACCAGATGGTAGCTAAGAGATTGTATTCAGTAGGCTACAGTAGTTTTAACAGTGTCATCATTATCTTGGTGCTACTCAGCCTGTTTAAACTTCCTTGAACATTGTGTGAGCCTCCATCTTTGATATGTAAATAAGTTTCCAGAATAACATCAATCTCTTCCGAAGGTAAGAATCAAAAACTCGTCTTCCTTCCTCTTCTTAATAGGCTACCTGCATGTCTTTAAAATCTGTGATTCCGAGTCTTGGCAGGTAGATACAATTTACATAAATTAGCTTTCTTCCAGTGATGAGGTTCTCCGTGAAACATGCCTGCGACAGAAATGAATAATGAGGTCAGAGTTCTGAGAAGCTAAGTATTATCTTGGAAGCTGACAGGGACATATCCTGTAACGGTCAATGTTATCTCTGTTTAGTCAGGTGAGTGTTAACCTACTTTGTATTGTGGAAATCCTAAAGACTCAATCCATCTTGCAACATCATGACAGCTCCACCGGAGGAACTCCATGTCGCCTGTAAGCATGTTACCATGGAAACTGCTACCTGCTACAAGGTGTTGGTAAGGTTTCCTTAACACATAAAAGCGAGTTTTATCCGGTCATAAATATTTTTAAAAGTGGGTTACCGCGGGAAGTGTCGTACGCAGTAAGCCCACTGGGCAACGTTTTAACAACAAAGTCCCCGAAGAAGGTTTTTAAAGACTCAATCAAGTAACTGAGGCGACTCAAGTCTGTGTTTGTTGAAACAGCCAATCAGCGTACTGTAATGTAGGGCGGCTGGTAAATTGCGCGCAGTGATTGGCTTTTAAATCGGGTCTGTCCCGCCCACACTGAGAGGACGCAGCGAATGCCGTCGCGAGCAGTTTTCACAGATCAACAAATGGTGTGCCCTGTTGCCAGCCACGGAAATCCACGCCAACAGTGTTTTGTAGATCGTCTTAAAAATCTTCTTAAAGCGCAGCGTTTTATCCCGCTGCTGTCCTCTGCAATATTTCTGCTAGCTAAAGTTCTCTCTGCTGCAGGATCTTTTGGGTCAGTTGAAGGGCTCCGGAGCAAGGAAAGAGAAACCCAACTCTCCACTATGGCAGCAATTCTCCTCCGGTCCCTTTTGAACAAAAAGGTAAAACAAATTCATTCTCATGTTTTACAGAACAGTTGGTTTTGTTTCAAGCGTATGCAATTCAAAATAGCTAACAACTTGCACTGCTAGCTAAGAAAGTCGTTGCCTAAGAAGCACGTTGCACACGGGTCACTCCTCCTTTATTGCAATCATTTAATATTTATGTGCAAGTTAGTTATGTAATATTAGGTAAGGGCAGGTTATTTGCATCAAGTGAACATGCCTGACAAGCAATGGAGCGCTCAGACTGAGCTTTGCACTAGTTCTTGGACAATGACTTTAATATCAGTTGAAGTTGACCATTGCTCTGCTGATTAATTTCTTGCAGGTCCCCCTCCAGCTGGGTCGTCTATGTTACTCCTCCTCAGCGGTAAGCGCTTCCCACTGACCCGCTTTTATGACGCAGCAATGAATGAATGAATGAATGTTATGTGTTCAGCACAGTCTCTTCTGATTGTCAGTTTCAATGTGCCACATTGTGTTGCATTATGCAGTTAACTTGAAATGGGGGGATGTATTAAATTATTTGGAACACTGGACGCCATCATTTCAAAATGACGCCATGTTTTTAGAAATGTTTGCAAAGTTTGTTCTATTGAAGTAACATAACTCACATTCACCTGTTCATGTGCCATGACGGTCCAAATGGAGCTGAGATTCATCCGGTTTTCTTAGACCAACTTTAAGACAACATCCTGACTGATAATGGATTTCCGGTTCCTATATAAATATTTAAAAGTTTAACAAACATTATAAAGGTTAATTGGCCAATATCTGTTATTTAACAAACATTTCTGATGAAGAACCCTTGCATTTGGCTGTTGAAGGATTGCCAGATATGTACAAAGTTGGACATAGCAATTATTTTTAAAAATGAACTTTTCAGTGTTTCCTGGCGGACAAACCATGTGATGAAGAGACCGTTTTAAAATGACCTCAAACATATCTTGTTATTTCTTACTGCAGTTTCTTGTTACTTATCGGCTAATGTATTAGCAGAGATCAATATATCTGCGATAATCTAATATTGGCTTTGTACTGACTAGAAGTTCTCAGTACTCATTATGAGATTGAAGACGTTCTGAACAGTCAAGAATTTGTGTTGAAATGTCTCATTGCATCCTCGTACTCATTGCATACTCATTACCTATGTCCCAGTTCCATACTACATACTAATTGTACACAGCTTTTACTATGTAAAACATTTCATACGCTGATGTTTTTGCAGTTAGTAAGGAAGAAATCATCATACTGTTTTATACTAACGGGAAATGATACCTATGTTGTCAGACATCAAACTGCAACTTAGGAAAGCCACTGTCAAAACGTAACCCCGAAGAATGAATGCCTGTCTCCAGCTCTTACATTTTCTTTGTTCATTGCATTGCGGGACAAACGTACATCAACAGAACACTCAAAAATCAAATGTTTCTATAATATGCATACTGACTTATTTGCACTTCATTTGATGTATTCCAATGAGTACACACTATCTACTCAAAACCTGCTGTATGTATTATGGGATTGGGAGACAGATAATGTAGCATGGAGGACTCTTTGAACCATCAAGACTCTGCTTAAACATGTCTGATCAGCAAAACGTCAATTTTATGATGTTAAAATGAACATAACTCGGTGTATAGAAAATAAATGGATCTACAATGCTTTAGAAAGTCAGTGTATATGTTGTGGTGATGAATCGAGGTCCTTATCGCACTTACTCAGGCAGGAAGGGATTTAATCATATGCTTCTGTGATCCTCTAGCCCACCACCAAGCTGTTCATTGATGGCAAGTTTGTTGAGTCCAACACCTCTGAATGGCTTGACATTCATAACCCTGTAAGTATTCATAGATGAACTATATGCAACCTGCAAAGAGGCTGCAGTAACAAGATATGTACTGTAGGCTGGCTGCAAATAACCAGAGCCGCTTGGTAGTAGTAACTTATGAATGTTGGGTAAGGGGAAATATTGAGATTTGCTCATTTGTAATAGCTTTATTTCTAAAGCAAGAGAGATCAGAGCTACACAGCCAGTCATGTTTTATGTCTTTTAAAAGTTCAGCCCTGCTATAATTTAGCTTGTCAAGTGTAAGCCACAAGCAAGGCAGTAATGGATGATTATAGCATGCAAAAAACAGTCTACAATCATCACATAAAATATCAAACCTGTAAAGCATAGAACGCCAACATTTGCTTATTAATATTAATGAATTAATGGACAGGCAGTAATAAGTAATGGCTTCCCCTGCTCTCAGTCAACTTGTCTGTATGGACTATCCCTTGCTCCTCAGGCCACTAATGAAGTGGTGGGGCGTGTTCCCAAAGCGACCCAGGAAGAGATGCTGGCAGCCGTGGACTCCTGCTCCAGAGCCTTCCACTCCTGGTCCGAGACCTCCATCCTCAGCCGACAGCAGATCTTCCTGCGCTACCAGCAGCTCATCAAGGATAACATTGTAGGGAAATGTGTCACTTGCTCATGTGCCTCTGTGTTTTTTCATCTTTCACCAACATGTTCCCATTTTAAGAGAACCGCTATCGTATGTGGACCTCTTTTTGTTTCTTCCTCGCGGATGTCTTGACGTAATGGTTGTTAATTTAAGCTGTTTTTCCTCTAATATTTCAGAAAGAACTGGCTAAAATAATCACCTTGGAGCAGGGCAAGACTCTTGCTGACGCAGAGGGAGATGTTTTTAGAGGGCTCCGTAAGTAAAGCATAGACTTCCCAGTGTGCTATTGGGTTTTGATATCCTGATTAAAGTGCTGGTCTGTCCCCTGTTCAAACGATTGTCTATAGTATCTCCTGATGATGAAAAGTCTGTGTCTTTGTCAACCCTTTATGTCATTGCTTGGGGGAACTAAGTGGCTGCAGGGTGTCAATTAAATGCGTGTAACCAGACGCTCCCTCCGAATGTGGCTTTCACTCTTAAATTAATAATGGGGCAAAGGTTCTGTTTTGGCTATCTTGGCATATAGAGGATTAAACTGCTTTTCGAGGGGCTTTCAAAGTGTTCAATTATAACAAAACAAGAGTTAAGGAGACAGGATCCATGCAGCATCACTTTAAGTCCCAAAGTTATAGTGTGACTGCTGAGTTTGTTTTAAGTAAAACACTTTGCAGGGTCTGCTTTTAGATGCATGCTATATAAAGATAATTATGCAGTTCCCCTCATTGAGGTGTACTTGTTCACTTTGGCAGACTTGCAAGAATCATGTTGAGAAATTAAGAGCCACGCGCACTTGCAAATAAATGAAGATCTATTTATTACACGACGGAGTTGCCAAAGTATTTCTTGTAGTTGGTACTGTTCCCGGTTTTGGGATGCTCGATTTATTCTAGCCTGCTATTTTTTTTAGCTTATCAGCTGAAAGACAGAATTAGAGATTTCCTACAGTACTGGGATCAATTGGGCTTATTGTTTTCAATAAATAAATCTATTACAGTTAGGTACAAGAAATCAGTTTATATTCTGAAGTACAAAATGGACAATAAATATACAATAAATCATCTTAAATAACTCATTTTACCATTGCAATTTTCAGGATGCATCCCTTAGTTTATTGTGTGTCTCATATCACGGATATTTTTATTGGTTTACTTATCCTTTCTCGTCTTCTACACCCCCCCCCCCCCAGAGGTGGTTGAGCATGCCTGCAGCATTACGTCTCTCATGCTGGGGGAGACTTTACCTTCCATCACCAAGGACATGGACACTTACACCTACCGCCTGCCCATCGGAGTGTGTGCTGGTATTGCCCCTTTTAACTTCCCTGCCATGATTCCTCTGTGGATGTTCCCCATCGGGATGGTATGTGGCAACACCTACCTGATGAAGCCCTCTGAACGGGTCCCAGGATGCACCATGCTCCTGGCCAAAATGCTCCAGGATGCTGGGGCACCAGATGGTACACTCAACATCATCCACGGCCAGCATGCAGGTGAGCATGTGTCTCCCTGGTAATTCAGAGGCACACTGTGTGTGTGTGTGTGTGTGTGTGTGTGTGTGAAATGAGCAGGGGAACGCTTCAAGGATGATTCAAACACTAATCGTATACTGCCTGGATATATGTAGATAATATTCATCATTTCTACAGCTTATATCTGTAAGTAATTCACTAGCGTTTGAACCTCTGTATCCAAGGCCTTTGTGCACTTATATTTTGCCTTAAGAGTGCAGCACAGATGAAGAGGGGATTTACAAATTCCGTTTGTATCTTTGTGTAGCGGTGAACTTCATCTGTGACCATCCGGCGATCAAAGCCATCAGCTTTGTGGGCTCCAACCCAGCTGGAGAGCACATCTATGAGCGGGGCTCCAAGAACGGCAAGAGAGTGCAGTCCAACATGGTACACAAGACCTCACAGTACTTAGTTTAACATTGCTAGATTAAATACACTGCTCTTTAGTAAGAGTTATGAGTCTCACTAGGCTGAAGTTGCTGTTTTCCATGATAACACACATATTAAAGCTGAGGTAGGTCATTTATTTCAGAAGCATTTTTTTGATATTTGTTGAAATTGTCTTTACATACTGACAACAATCTATTAGGTCGGCAGAAATCTGCCAATCAGCCTCTTCATGTTGGCGCTCCCCCTTTGGGAAGGTGGTGAGGGGAAGGAAAAAAAAAAAAAACTAGTTTCGAGCCCTAAATTTCACAATCATCTTTTATAAATGTTAACGTGTCGCTCCCATCCTAAATGATAGCTAATCTAAAACCATTACTGGCTGTGACCTTTAAAGAACAGTGCAAACGTCACTTCTGACCAACTGTACCCCACACTCTCCAGTCACTTTCTGAAATCTACAGCATGAACCAGTGTATTTTTTTCTATTACATTAATTAATAGAAATTATATCTAAAACAGCATGCTAGTGGTTAAGAGAACCATGTATATTCTGTATGGAATATTGTAATTATACATGACTTTTCCTTGTTTTGATATCGGCATTATATATATCGACCATTGGCAGCACTGCTGCCATTGAAAAACCCATATCTGTGGACCACTTCTGTTTACCTGCCTGTGCATTCATGACACATGAAAATGTGTTTTGAGGGAGGCCTGAAGGAGGGCGTGGGATTTTTTCCATTTGATATGTTCAAAAACGGCCTCTATTTGATGTCCTACAATATAACCGGAGAGAAACCTTACAGAGCCGTGTCCTACATTTTTCAATTTAGGGTGCCAAGAACCATGGTGTGGTGATGCCTGATGCCAACAAAGAGAACACACTCAACCAGCTGGTAGGTGCTGCCTTCGGAGCAGCTGGCCAGCGCTGTATGGCTCTATCCACGGCTATTTTTGTAGGGGAATCTCGTGAATGGCTCCCAGAGCTGGTGGAGCGCTCAAAGTCTCTGCGAGTAAACGCAGGTAACGTCGTTGGTAACTGTGTCAACACAAATTTGTTAAGCATTTCAAATATAATTTTTTAATATAAAGAATAAGGCCCTTCATAAAGGAACATTTTACACGTGTGTGTGTGTGTGTGTGTCCTAAAGGTGATCAGCCTGGGGCTGATGTGGGTCCCCTGATCTCTCCTGAAGCCAAGGCCAGGGTGGAGTCTTTGATCCAGAGTGGGGTGGATGAAGGTGCCAAGCTGCTGCTGGATGGGAGAAATGTCACCGTCAAAGGATATGAAAATGGAAACTTTGTAGGACCCACCATCCTGGGCAATGTTATGGTGAGATTTGGCTAAGAGTGCACAACATGGCCTCTTTCAGTCACTAAAAAGTCTAATGTAATAAACAGCCAGTTTACTTGCAGAGCTGACAGTTGTGGAGGAAAAATAGTTTGCTTTGTTAACAGGAGACTCTGGAAAAATTTACTAATATGTCCTTCACTAAGTGTAAATTGCAAGAACTTTATTTCTGTGGAGTTTGTGTATTTATTTATTTATTTATTTTTGTCGCTGGTAGTTATCCCCGGCAAAAAAAATCCACAAGAACTGGGACACAATTCAGTATGTTTGATGAAGCTTGTTGTCATTTTAAATCACATTTCAGCATTCTTTCTTCCCAACAACTTTTTCCTTGTCTTCCCAATTTACTGACATGACATTATAAACTTTGAACATGCAGGGTCTTTATGCTTTGTTAATAAAGCCTCGTGGAGTTTTAGTTGTAGATGATAAATGCTCCGGCGTGATCATTCTGCTGTTCTTTCCAGCCGGACATGAAGTGTTACAGAGAGGAGATCTTTGGGCCGGTGCTTGTCATCCTGGAGGCAGACAGTCTTGACGAAGCGATTTCTTTAATCAACCACAACCCATACGGCAACGGCACTGCCATCTTCACCACCAATGGAGCCACAGCGCGCAAATACACACACGAGGTGGACGTTGGTCAGGTAAGACTCTTTTGGCTGAATAAAAGGACACCGGAGAGAATGTCTTCAAATCGACTGTCAGGATCCAAACGGGTCACCTTTTTGTGTTATTTTGGGCCTCAGCGAGTCACCTGTGTGATACATTGATGAGTAAACAGTTTTGTGTGGGAGGCGTTGTGTTTCGAAAAACAAGACACAGTTCATGTGAGGTGGGAATATTTATTGGAGCGACTTGAAGGCTCAAAGGAGTAGTGCTATAAAGTATTTATGAAAGTGAAACACCCAGTGCAGATTTTTCTTTGCTAAATTTAACAGTTCATCTTTTTAAACCAAAGCTTCACACTTGAGAGATATAGATGTATATTAATTTGTGAAGGCATGTTAGAAAGTGATTTTTTTTTTCTTTTTTTTTTAAGAAAAGGCAGCAAGCAAAAACTGTTTTTGTTTTCTTTCAGACTGTATTTGATAATCAAGTCTCTGTTGAGTTGCAGATGGATGAGAATCATTTTTCAAGTTATACTTCGATCCCTGGTGTATATGTACCTCTGCAGTAGTTGAGTTTGATTTCTGGTTCATGTGTGTACAGATTGGCGTGAACGTGCCCATCCCCGTCCCCCTCCCCATGTTCTCCTTCACTGGCTCCCGGGGCTCATTCAGAGGAGACACCAACTTCTACGGCAAGCAGGTAAATAACAAAAGCAGTCTGTCATGTGCACTATACTTTGCATCTAAAAATAAAATTTTCATGTGTACCGGGTAGCTGACGCAGTCGTTGTGTCTTTACCACCAGGGCATCCAGTTCTACACTCAGATCAAGACTGTGACATCGCAGTGGAAGGCTGAGGACGCCACTGTGACGAGCCCGGCTGTTACTATGCCAACCATGGGACGCTAAGTGAAATTGACAGCACATCCAGCATAATGTTCTGTGACTTCTCGTATGCCTTAAGAAGATGCCCGATTGGAGAAGAGGTTACATGTCCTTTTTGGTGTATAGAAATATTCACATTGAGAATTGTTAGTGTGTGATTGTTTGGACTGAACATCCTACACAATGTTGTTGTATAAAAACATACAAACGCAAATTACACCTCATTTGGAGACTGAGGAGATGAACTGACCTGATGCAATGAATGGTGCTGTGAAGTTCATGGGTTTGCTGCTGTATATTGTACCTGTTTCTTTCTGTGCAGACCGGGTGGACAATGAATAATCATGGTCAATCATTTTCATGATTGACTGTGTACTCTTGTATCACATTTCTTAAAACCTACAGTGTAAATCAAAAGGATCAGGGATTCTGTCTTGTGAAGCACTGACAGCTAATGTCTTCCACCAGTGTCCTCTGGTTCGTTAGCTTGTTCTGTTTATCAGATCATCGTGTAGATACTTGAATAGTGGAACAAATGCCATACACACCCATTCTGTAACTCTATTAAAAGTTAAATAATGGTGGTTGAGTTCTTGCCCTCTAAATGTATATCCTACTCTAATATTGTCCAGCTTTGGGATTAATGTGTGTCAGAGGTTCACAGTTTTGTACTATATTATGGTGAATGGTATAAAGGTTAAATTGTAATATTTTACATGGGAGGCATTAGATATTCTTTATAAACCATTGTGAAGAAATTCCAGGGATGAAACTGTTTTGTTCCAGTAGAGCTAGACGTCTTTTCATCCCAAGTATCTCAGACACTTTAAACCTTGTACACTTCTCTTTGGTCTTGTGGCTAACTATTAAGGTGATAAGGGTATCTGAGTCTTTTGTTGGAATAAAGACTGTAATTTGACTCAAGTGAATTCTGACTTGTGTTGAAATTGGCCTCTGGTAATGTTGTAATTTGATGTGGTATTTACTGTTGAAGCAAAGAAAGTACAGCTCTAAACTGTGTCTAATGAGCGCCACGGATAAAAAAGTAGGTGATGTCTGAACTTGAGTTATTCTGACTCAGCGACACGGCCTATAATTTCTCTGCTGAAAACATCCCACTGTTTTGACTGCATGTGAAATGTAAACCTCAGAAATAATGCCCCAGCTGGCGGAAAATTGAGCACAGACGGGTTTTCCTATTGACAGAACAGGCATTATATTGTTCTGTGAGGCCTGTCTGTTTTGTACTCAGCATGTTTTATTCTGACGTACACTGGTGAGCCCTGCACGAGACCGAAAACAACTTCGCAACATGATCACAACATGGGAGGAGTCGTCACCGGCGAGAAGAGTGCAGCCAGTCGGACATCATGGTGAGGTCGGACCGTGTTCAGCGTGCAGAAAAGACTTTTATGACTTACCTACATATTCTTTAATGTGTGTCTTGTCGTTTTGGGGTTTTGTCACCGCTCTCTAGCTTCTATGTGGAAGCCGGAGCTTAACTCACCTCACTGTATTAGCTCGTTGGCAAACTTCACCGCCTAGCTTTCAGTAACGTTAGCTAACGTCAAGTTAGCGTAATGTTATCATAGTTGACTGAAGAAGCTAAGCTCTGGTCAATAAACTTTAGTTAGCTGTTGTGAACTTTATTGCACTGACACCAAAATGAGCTGTCTGTGGTGTAAGTTATGGGATATTGTGAAATTAAGCAAGTGGGACAAACTGGTGGAAATAATTCACTGTGGAGAGGACACGTTGTCATTTATGTTAAAAACAGCTTAACGAGTCTGTTTAAGGCTAGCTTAACTAGCTACAGTGCACCATTATAACCTTAAATTTACTTTGTGGAAATACAGCAATGCTGCAAACCTGTGAATTGAATTGAGGACTAACTAACTTAAGTTACATGTTAGTCATTTCTTTCATACAGCATTTTTATGTAACGCACTGAATCCTGCCAGAGGACGCTGGCTGATAAAACACCTTGTCACTGTTCACTCACGGTGGATTGTTATCTTTATGGACACCGTGGCAGTAGATTTTTATGCAGACATTTTCGGGTTCATTTCTGGTAATGCTACAATAAAGGTGCGTTTAAGTTATAAAATTGCGATTTGTCCAAGTGAGACAGCCCTAGAAAGTTTCAGCATAGCATCCTAAACACCACAAATATAATGATTTAGAAGACATTACAAATGAACTTAGCTTGATATAACTTTGTTAAAACAAAGCTTCATCAAACTCCTAATAAACGTCCAGTGCTGATCGTTTTTAATTGTTTATTGGAGAAGGGACCATGTACAGGTGCTGGTCATATAATTAGAATATCATCAAAAAGTTGATTTATTTCAGTAATTCCATTCAAAAAGTGAAACTTATATAATGTATACATTCATTCCACACAGACTGATATATTTCAAGTGTTCATTCCTTTTAATTTTGATGATTATAACAACTAATGAAAACCCCAAAATCAGTATCTCAGAATATTATATATAATATTAGAATATTGTGAAAAGGTTCAATATTGAAGACACCTGGTGCCACTCTAATCAGCTAATTAACTCAAAACACCTGCAAAGGCCTTTAAATGGTCTCTCAGTCTAGTTCTGTAGTCTACACAATCATGGGGAAGACTGCTGACTTGACAGCCGTCCAAAAGACAACCACTGACACCTTGCACAAGGAGGGCAAGACACAAAAGGTCATTGCTAAAGAGGCTGGCTGTTCACAGAGCTCTGTGTCCAAGCACATTAATAGAGAGGCGAAGGGAAGGAAAAGGTGTGGTAGAAAAAAGTGTACAAGCACAAGGGGATAACCACACCCTGGAGAGGATTGTGAAACAAAACTCATTCAAAAATGTGGGGGAGATTCACAAAGAGTGGAGTGCAGCCGGAGTCAGTGCTTCAAGAACCACCACGCAAAGACGTATGCAAGACATGGGTTTCAGCTGTCGCATTCCTTGTGTCAAGCCACTCTTGAACAAGACACAGCGTCAGAAGGGTCTCGCCTGGGCTAAAGACAAAAAGGACTGGACTGCTGCTGAGTGGTCCAAAGTTATGTTCTCTGATGAAAGTAAATTTTGCATTTCCTTTGGAAATCAAGGTCCCAGAGTCTGGAGGAAGAGAGGAGAGGCACAGAATCCACGTTGCTTGAAGTCCAGTGTAAAGTTTCCACAGTCAGTGATGGTTTGGGGTGTAATGTCATCTGCTGGTGTTGGTCCACTGTGTTTTCTGAGGTCCAAGGTCAACGCAGCCGTCTACCAGGAAATTTTAGAGCACTTCATGCTTCCTGCTGCTGATCAACTTTATGGCGATGCAAATTTCATTTTCCAACAAGACTTAGCACCTGCACACAGTGCCAAAGCTACCAGTACCTGGTTTAAGGACCGTGGTATCCCTGTTCTTAATTGGCCAGCAAACTTGCCTGACCTTAACCCTATAGAAAATCTATGGGGTATTATGCCAGACCCAACAATGCAGAAGAGCTGAAGGCCACTATCAGAGCAACCTGGGCTCTCACAACACCTGAGCAGTGCCACAGACTGATCGACTCCATGCCACGCCACATTGCTGCAGTAATTCAGGCAAAAGGAGCCCCAAGTAAGTATTGAGTGCTGTACATGCTCATACTTCAAGTTCATACTTTTCAGTTGGCCAACATTTCTAAAAACGCTTTTTTTGTATTGGTCTTAAGTAATATTCTAATTTTCGGAGATACTGAATTTGGGATTTTCATTAGTTGTCGGTTTTAATCATCACAATTAAATGAAATAAACATTTGAAATATCAGTCTGTGTGGAATGAATGAATATAATATCCAAGTTTCACTTTTTGAATGGAATTACTGAAATAAATCAACTTTTTGATGATATTCTAATTATATGACCAGCACCTGTACATTAATCAACATTCAAATAAATGTAAATATCATCAGCACTCCTTAAAAAGAAAACTTATACAATATAATTAACAAGTGTTAAAGAAATACTATATTGTGGTAAACAACAATAGAATTAAACAACATGAGTGGATAAAATCCATCAGCAGGTGATACAGGCAAAGTTAGATAAAAACAGTATCAGTGTTGATATTGTTGGTTCTTAGTAAGCCATTTGTTAACATAACCCTTAAACAAGTAATGCATCTTCTAAGTAATAGATCTTTTACTCAGATCTAATCCAGAGTTGTTTTTTTGTTTGTTTCCAGTATAAATTCCACTCACAGTATTCTTTTTATTGTTAGGTAATATTGGTAAATGCTGATGTATAATGATGCAGCAACAAGCGCATTGTTTTGATTTAGGGACTAGTAGTTCTACAATGCCACTTTGAGAATGCCGAGTCTCAGTTGCACGTGTCATCTTTGGGAATAAAGCTTTCAGAACTACAATCAAGTTTTCTAAAAATGTTGCAAACACTGAACAGGATTATAAGATGAATGTGTCATGCAAGGGTTTTCTTCTTTGTTTGCTGACAGTTCCTTTTTCTATGTTCTGCCTTAGAGCATACAGTCCACTCTGGAAGCCCACATCTACTTTACACTGATACAAGTCACTGGAGATATCATTGAAATGACAGTACTGCCAGACTTTTTTTATTATTAATTAATGCTTTTCTCACAAACTGAGAGGTGAGGCATGTGATATCTCACATGATGAGTTTGTGATTGCACTGAATCTCCCAAAACAGTTGACAGGTGTGTTATGCATCTTTTCTAGCAGAGCGTAGCTTCAAATCAGTAACCATCCAGTTCACAAATGAAAATGATCTCATGCTTCACTTTAAAGTCACAGAGAGGAGCATACACACTTGGAGGTATTCATCTATAGTCATATAGTTTATCTTTGTAGATACAACTGAGCTTCTGAAACATTTTAATGATACATAAAGGGACAGGGGCCCATTTGTTAGTTCTTTAACTGTCACGTGTCCAGTTATAGAATTTCTATAATTTTTTGGAACTTGCTTCAGACATTTTTCAAGCAAAAATGTATTCAGTCTCTTCATTTTCAATGTAAGTAGGGTGAGCATCTTAGCAGGGGTTTCCCACACAGTGGTCCCTCACCGAGGCATCATAATTCGATAAGATGTGAGTTTTGTAGAGAGATGTTGAGAAATGCTAGAGTTGCCTCGCATTGATCGAACATCAAGATCAAAGGATTTAAGTCCACTTATTAAAGTCCAAAGTGGTGAAATTGTGATGTTTGTCTGCAGGAGTTGACTCAGCAGGTAGAGAAGTTAATTCTGGGATATGTCTCTGTAATTGGTTAGAAAGTCTGATGGGGTGTGGTCAAATGGTCTTGGTGTAAATAACACTATTGCTTCTTACTCCTCTGTTGCATGTCAAGCTGTAATTTAACTTCTCCCAACACTAGTCTGCACCACTTGAGCTGCTCTTTTGAGCAGTTCAAAACAATTTAATAGAACAGTAGCATTACACTGCTGTAACGAGAACACCTGTTGTTTTCTGCGGAATCTCCAGAGTGAAGATGAAGCTCACTGTGCCACTTCCACTCCTGGTCCTCCTTGCTGTCACAGGACCAGGCCGAGCCCAGGTCAGGACCTCTCTCCTAGATTTGACCAACAGCATCGGGAGCATCTTTCCCAGTCTCAGCCGACCGGCAAACCACAGCCGCATCTTCTATGCAGTGATGTTTGATGCAGGGAGCACAGGGACACGCATCCATGTCTACACCTTCATCCAGAGTGACTCAGGTAATACTGGGCAGAGCTGGACATTGTCTCAAATTACTTCCCTCTGCTCTTTTAACTCGAGTTATAATATCAGCATCCAGGGTGAGAGGCAGGTTAAATCATGTGTACATGTAGAGTAACAAGCTGTTTTGCAGTCTATTCCTCCCCTCAGCTTTTACTCTATCCTCACTTCTGTAAACCTGTAAGTTTTCACTTCAGGGGACATAGGTTAAACTTGACTTTTTAAGCAATAATCCTTGTTTGTCAGATTCAAGTCAACATGCCTCATCTTGAATAAGGGGATATATTCTGCACATGTATGCTTAGCAGATTAAGGCATTAACGCTTTTAAAAGCTGCTGCATATTTGATGTGGGTGGATCTTGTATCTTGTAGCGGAGCTGCCTGTTTTGGACAATGAGATGTTCCATTCCCTAAAGCCTGGTTTGTCAGCATACGCTGACTCCCCTGAAATGGTGAGTTCATTGTCAAATCTAATCAATTATATTGAGCCGAAGGAAAAGGTCAGCTGGCTCTACATTGTATTCATAAACACTGCCAATAGCGTCCCTCTGTGGGGAATCACATTACTAATGAAAGTAAGTGGGAAGTGAGAAAAGCAAAATGACAGACACGTGAAGATTGAAGCGCCCAGATATGTAACACTTACAAAGTGTTTTCTCAACTAACCAGACAGCTCTGGGCAGTGCTGTTTTGTGGTGAGCATTGTCTCTGTTTTTAAAGGCTGGAAACACAGTAAGGATGTTGTTGAAGGTGGCCAAGAAGACTGTGCCTCGTTTGGAGTGGAAGAGGACCCCAGTGGTCCTCAGAGCCACAGCTGGACTTCGGCTGCTGGCCACAGAGAAAGCCCAGGCTCTTCTGGAGCAGGTAAAAGAGTGCAACGGTACTGAGACATGACATGATCTCTGAGGTACGGTTTACACAATAGCAATATTCTGTAGAGTGCATTTCTTTTATCATAGGGGAGTTGTAAGGCACTACATTGCCTGACACTTTCAAGGGAAAGTGCAACCTGTTATCCAGGGAGGAGCAGGCAGAAAAGGAAACGATGGCAGGTGGTACAGAGGCAAGAGGAAAAGTATTGTTATCAGAGTGGTATGAGCTTAGTGTGGAAGGCTCTTTTGGAGGGGATAAGATAGTAATGGATGGCCCTGGGGCACCTTGGAAGATAAGTGATACTTTATTAATCCCCCCGAGGGAATTAATTAATCCCTTCAAGCAGAGGGCACCTCTGGATGAGGTACCATTACAGTAGATAACATTAAGGCCATTTCTCTGCTGCTTTCTTTGGCTCTCTCGTGCTCTCTCTCTATCATTCTGCCTCTCCTCCCTCTCTTCTTCCTCCTCCACAGGTTCAACATGTGTTTGATGAATCTCCTTTTTTGGTCCCAGACAACAGTGTCAGCATAATGAACGGCACAAATGAAGGTAACGTCTGACAGGCAACACATTCGTCACTTGCCGCAGTCGCTCATGTTTTCTCTGCAGTACTTTATAGGTGGCATCAGTGATCCTCCTGCCTTACTTTTTGTGTGCCGTGTCATTTTCTGTAAGGAATATTTTTTACTGCAGACATTTAACTAAATTGCAGGAGGTTTTTGCTGTATTTTATGATGACTCTTGAGAAAACTAAATTGCTCTTCACCACAAAGTTGTTGTGACCTTGAACGGCTGTTATTATGTGGTGAAAATTTGTTGCCTGATGTGCCGCAGTGTAATTGATTTGTCAGCATTTCAGCCTTGTTTTTAGAATTATAACTCATACTTACGTGTTTGCACATGGCTTTGTTTGCACCATCTATTGTAATTTCTGTGAAAATTTGTCGTCAGCTTCTCTAAAATGAAGTTGTGCGTTCCACCTGGAATGACTGTTTGCTTGTTTGCTAATCTCTTTAATGTAGGACTCCTGGCGTGGATATCTGTCAACTTTCTGACAGGTGAGAACTGTAAACTCATGTCTAAATGCTCTGCAACATAACACAGCGAATATCTTTCCTGATTTTTTGTTTTGTTTTCTGAGCTCAGATTACTATACAGTACTTGAAAATTGAACTCGTTCACTAATACAGGCTGAATGTATACAGCGATGATGTTTTGCCTCAAGGGGATAGCTCTGATCGTTATCAGGCTCAGTGTTGGGATTTTATTGTTTTGGGTTGCACGTTCTGTGTCAAATAGGCCTTTTGAAGATAGCATCTAAGGTATAACCAATTAGCTCATCTCTGTTGTGGCTGCCGGATTCAAGTTGCAAATCTTTTCAGGTCACCTGAATGCACAAACCAAGAAGACAGTGGGGATCTTGGACCTGGGAGGAGGATCCACACAGATAACTTTCTTGCCAAAACTGAGGGTCAGTTGTGTGTCTGCATGTTTAGAGAGTTCTGCGCAAAATAAACTGTTTAGCAATTACTGACCTGCTCTGTCCTTCATATTCCGCTCTAGAAAACCATCGAAAGTGTTCCCGTTGCTGATTACGTTGCCAGATTTCACATCTTCAACTCAACATTTGAATTGTACACACACAGGTAATAGATTTTAATTAATGTTCTACCTATCCTGCATTTGAACTATTTGTGGTTCCATCAAATCAATTCCTGATTTAATCTTAATCTCCATGTATTTTTTAAATTGACCTTCAGTATGGACTAGTTACGTATAATACAAATGCCACAGACCATGTTGTTAATTAGGAAAACTTGTATTATGTGTTTAGTCATTAGATTGTGAGTAAAAGGCAGACCATTCGTTTGACCTATTTTCACAATGATTTGTTACATACACGGTCTGTTCCTGGTCAGTTGTGTAACTGTATAACAATCCTGTGACTTCATCCAGTTACCTTGGAAATGGACTGATGGCAGCTCGACTGGCCGCACTGGGCGCTTTGGGTGCAGAAGGTACTGTGCAGTACATGAGGAAAAGGTGCTCTGTCGCCATTAGCTGTGGCTCTGTGTTCACTGTGAGTGTGTCTCTGCAGGATACTGAGACACAACAGTGAGTCAGTTCTCCGAGTGCTCTCTCGAGTGTTTTTATTTCCTTCTCCTTTCTGCCTATTTCTCCAAATCCTGAGTAAAGGAGGTAACAGGAGAAAGACATTTTTTGTAGGATGTACTTTCAAGTCTTCCTTTTTTTAATAAACAATTCAAGTGAGACCCTGAGATGAATCACCAAAGGGCTTCAGAGAAAATCGTGTTAGTGACTATCCCGAGTTCTTGAGTCAGTCTCAGACCGTGGTGACCAGGTGTGAAGCCATTGAGCCAGTTAGAAGATTAAAAGAGTCACGTCTGTGCTCCCACAGGGTTGGAGTGGCGAGTTTTTAAAAGTTCCTGCTTGCCAAAGAAGTTCAGGGATGAATGGAGCTTTGGCGGGCTGACCTATCAAGTGAGCGGGGACCCAGATGGTAAGATACTTTTTACTTCAAGTATAATCACTCCGTTGAGTAGAGTAAATCCAAAGCTACTGTATGTGGGAATGAAAACTTCAATGTGTGATGGGGTTAAACGTTCGTAGCAAGTACAAAATAGAAACATGTTCCGCCAACCCAAACGTGTGCGGTTATGTTTTTAAAGCCCATTAAAATGGACTTGCAGTTGAAGTACGCACCATTTTGTTCCAACATATGATGCATCATTTACAATGCTGTCCGTTTCCTCTCCAGGTTATGCAGGATACAAGCTTTGTTATCAGGAAGTACTTAAGGTGGTGAAGGGGATTATTCATCAGCCGTATGAGCTCGAAGACAGCAATGTTTTCTATGCCTTCTCCTATTACTTTGACAGAGCGGTGGAAGCAGGCCTTATCGGTAAGCACACACCCTTATAATTATACAGACCCAGCAGAATATTACCCATTCCAGTGTTATACAGAGGCAGGAAAATGTGAGTCATCTATACCCATCTCAGTGGATTTGATGATCTATAGGTGTGTAGTTATTAGAGAAACTGCTATCCTCTGCCAGTCCTAGCTGAAAGGGCACAAGCTCTGTTATTAGTATTATGGAAATGTGTGTGTAGATCTGCTCTCTTAATGAATGGTATAGCATTTTAAATGTGAGGAGGATGACCCCAATCACCCCCTGTTGCAGATGGGGTCCAAGGAGGAACGCTGGCGGTCAGAGACTTCAAGAAGCGAGCTAAAGAGGGTGAGATGGGCAAAGCAATGCATCGTTACTATGACAGATGTGCAGCTTCCCGTACTTGAGACACTGTGTGCATCTCAATAGTCTGGACCTGTGTCCTCCTCGCTGCTATCTGAAACCCTGCCCTCATCCTCCCAGCAAGAATACAGATGACTGATTATCCAACCTAACAGACATGATTGCCCTTTTGTCTGCTCAGTGTGCAATAAGATGACCAAGTACCCTTCCATCAGTCCTTTCCTGTGTATGGACATGACCTACATCACCTGTCTGCTCAAGGATGGGTTCGGATTCAAGGAGAGCACTGTGCTGCAGGTGAGGCGGTATTATACAACACAATCAATAGGGTTTATGCCTTGCTAATAGAAGGAATAAACAGTTAGGATTTTTTTAAGTTGTGTGACTCATAAGTGATTACAACATTACACAACGCAAGAACGGTTACGTTTAAAATAGCCTCCATTTAGCATTTGTTGTACCGTTTGAATAGACCCTAGATACAGAGACCGTGACTCATCGGTAATGGAAAAGAGGTGTTCTTACCATTTTGTCACCCCGGACATCTCTTTTTTTTAAAAACGTAATATTTTAACATTGTAGTGACACAATCACCTGAAAGAAGTCACAGACCTTTAAAAAAAAAGCACCAGTCATGCTCACTGACTTAAAAAGGAAATTCTCCACAAAAATTGTTACTTTATTTCAATAAATACAAAAAGTACTCGAGTGATTTGGTGTCGGATTTCCCCCCCTCCATCCTAGTTGACCAAGAAAGTGCACAACGTGGAGGCAAGCTGGGCTTTGGGCGCCACGTTGGACCACTTCCACAACCTGAAGATCCACTGAGGAGAAGGGAGAAACACACACTGCTGATTTCGGTGGTGCTTAGTAACAAATATGTAAAGCGCACTACCTTATCTAACGGCCCCAGACATCTGCAGTTTGTTTCATAAGGGCAGAACCAACCTCATGAGTAATTCTTAATTTTGTTTAAAAAGCAATTATTCTCAAGTGTTAATAGATTGAGTTGTAAATGAGCAATGTGTTGCCTTACTCAGAGAACAAATGAAGCACTGGAGGTTGACATTTGAGGGAAAGATTGTTACCAGTAACACACTGTGTTAATGCAGATTTTGGCATTACTGGAGACACACTTTGTCTAGGATAGATGTTTTTGCGCATTACTCAGGCTAATTAACATGGTGGCCTAGCTTGTAAGGCTGTGTAAAACCAGTGTTTACATGCAGCAATGTGATATACTGTGTGTTTAGCAGCAGTTTTTAATGTCAAGTGTTTTGTAATTAGTTTATGGATAATGGGGTATACACGTGTCTGGAACATTTCAATTTGACAGTCAACCATTAAAGTTTTAAAAATAAATGGGACTCGTTCCAACATCATCACTGCATTTCAACCTCAGACATCATTGTTTACAATGATAATGCACATCACAATACATGGTCATTATATTTTCATAAACTTTTAAACCCGTCTCAGTATTTCTTTGGGAGTCTGAAAAACTTGAGGGAAATGGTTGTTTGCAAACTTAGCCGTTTTACACTTGTCAATAAAACCATTACTAATTACAAATATCTACAGGGGTAAAAGTCAGAATCTATTTACAAATAGATGTCTATGTTAAGTCCACTGTGACCGTCAGTCTAGTGCTGCTGAAACAGGTGTGTGATGTTCATGATGGCGGACTACAGTAGTGCCACCACATCTTCTCCGTATCCGTGGCCTTCGGTCGTCATGGTCACCAGCTCGTGTGGCTGAGAGAGAACCACCACGGCGTCAGCAGAGCCTGGAGGGAGGGACGCAAAGACGAGTTCAAAGAGAAGGTACCTGGTAACATGAATGCTGTTTAATGGTAAGACACGTCAATGTGCATGTAGCTACAATAAGGTCCAACTATAGTCATTAACTCCGCTAACACAGTTGTCCTTGAGTTTCTGCAAGCTTTCACCTGGTAATGCCTTTTGGTTTTCATGCTGACAGGCCCATTTAGGAAAAAGTGAAGGACATGCAAAGATATTCAGTAATATTGAGCCAATATTAAAAAAGGTATTCACAATAGGAGTATTCCGTCTCAGGGGGTGAATGCCATCTACATTATAGGAATTACATATGGATATATGTTGAAAGTCTGACAAATGGGAACGATTTCAAAACAAGTGTGGGTTTTGAAAAAGTAGCTTAGAACCGGGCCATATGTCTGAATACCGAAATGCAATATATGCCTATATTTATATTTGCAAAAATCATACATTATAGTATGTGGAATTAACTGTCTACAATATGCTTTTACCAGTGCAGTTCAGTGTCATTCATCAACATTTGTTTGTTTAAATTTATTATGTTTAGATAACAGAAAATCCACTTAGACAAAGAATATAAGAAAGGTATATAAGAGACAATACTACACCAATGATAACTGCGCCGATATAAATACCTTGTGTATATTGAAGAGGCAGCCCATTTTCAGTAGATTATGACAACTAAAGTTTAGGCACTGCACAGGCAAATAAATATTACAACCATATGTTAACATGTCAGTGTTACATGCATCAACATTCTTAAGACTTACATTGAGGCCCTGGTAAATTTGAACGCATGGGTCCAATAATCAAGTGAAGCATAATTAACACCATGTAACTTGACTGCTGAGCGCTCCAGTTATTAAACAGTATTGTAAGTAATGATCCCAGAGTTGAATAAATCATAGTTGGGTTGGAAGCAACTTTTCAGAATGACAATTTTAGCAGTGTATCGGAGACGAACAGCAAGACTAAAACCAAGAACAAACAAGGCGGAGCAGACAGGAAGAGGTTTGTTACGCATATTACAGCGTCCGAGATAAACAGCATTACTAAAACATGCATATACAGTATGTGCCCACAGCAGAAGAGCACATGTTCATTTATAAGACTCTGAAAGCTGGCGTGAGGTATACTCTGAAAAAAATGTGCAATTTAAAGGCTGTTTGACAAGGTTTTTAGAAGAGATGAAGATGATGCTAAACAAAGAAGACTTTCATCCTGCCTCATTACATCATTTTCTGTTTACAACCGATTCGCCAGAAATCCAGACAGCAGCTATTCTAAAGCACCATTACAAAAGGCAATTACACAGCTGAGTCATATTAAGTAGAGAGCAAGCTGTGCTTCAACTATGACAATCAACATTTTAATTTTCATGGCAACATAAGCAAATGGCACAATGACAGTACAAAGGGGCCCGAAAGCTGCTGCCTGAATTGTTGGTTAATTGTGTAAAAATCCAAAAGAAAACATCTTTAAAGTCCAGACAACTTTGGCAAACACAAGAAAGCTGGGCTGTCATAAGCAATGATTGAAAAAACACTTAACAGGACATCAGCAACAGCACATTGTGAGCTTCACTGAATAATTTCTTGCTATTGTTTTGTGAGATGTTTTGTTATTTTGTCCACCCTGCGTGTATTGTGGTTTCCCCTGCCATACTTGTGCAAAACGCCCACCTGGTGATCTCAGCATGGCATGGTGAAGATTCATGGGCCCCACGTTTGTTGTCATGGTGACCATACCGTCTCCGTTTTCGCCGTCTGCCTCCAGCAGGCTGCTCTGTGTCAGAGCCTCTCCTGTCAGTAGCAAACAAATAAACTTTTGCTTTCTTCCCGCCCCTCAGCAAAAAAAGAAGTATGAAAGGGAGAGGGACATGCTGTGCTTAATCTACGATCTTTATAGGACTTACAGCCAACAGCTTACTGAGAAAATCAATGTTCAAAGCTGAAATCTGCTCATTATTACCAACTTTCCAAGCTATGTTTTGATGCTTTTGTGAAAATGTTTTTTTTTGTGTGGTTGTTTTTAGGACTGGTTATTTCAACAGTCCATTTAAGAATTCATCCAGTATAAATAACACAGAAAGTACCCCTCTGTTGTGAAGCTGCATCTTTCTTTGCTCCGCTTTTACAAAAGACCAGCCTCTGGGGAGGCTGACCCGAATAAATCTGCTGTTTATAATTAGAGCTTTGGCAGCGCTTCCTCTGTGGTGATTCAGCTGTGGTGCTTCCCACTTCTACAGAAATGTGACAAGGAGGCAATTGGACTGTCTGCTCTAATTTTTTCTGCGCAAAAAATTAAACTAATTTAAGCTGATTTTGTACAATATGTTGAAAAGCTCAGAGAGACGCTTTTAATCTGAAGAGGTGCTAAAACTGCTACCAGGAATAGAGGCAGGAGTGAACTCGGGTAAATTTCCCACAGCTGCAGAGGGAGATTTACTCAAGTGTCCACTCATTTATCTCAGTAATTTGTGGGGTGACTGCAAAAAGGCATCTGACTAAGGCGAGGGAAGCTCGAAGACATGAATTTGAGTTCCTCTGACATTTTAAGTTGGTGACTACATACTTTTCAGACAAATCTGACCCCATCACAAGATGCCTAACAGGCCTATTTCTGCGGTAGAGTTGTGCTGTCTCTGCTATTGCAGAGATATGTGCAGTCTAAAACAATTCAGCTACTGGCCATGAAGAATAAAAATTGGAATGATACATTTTTAAGTGCTAAAAGTCATTAATTATTCAAGAAATGTTCCTAAAATGTAACCAGCACCATCACCGTGCACATTTTAAAATGTATGGGCTGCTTGAAGCTACACAATCCAAGGATTAGCATAACCACCAACTGCACTATGTGTATGTGTGCGTGAGAAAAAGATAATGCGAGTGAGAAAGACCTGTTTCTCTGCTTTCACCACTGAGCCCCTCCTCTCCATGTCTCTTCCTCATGTGGACGTTTCTGCTGCCGGACTGAGAGAACGTCTTCCCACAGATCCCACAGTGGTGAGGCTTTTCACCTGGGAAACGCAGACACAAACACGTACTGCCCTGTGATTCCGTCTGAACTGATACAGGATGCAACTCTTCCAAGGCATATGATGATATGCTGTTATCTGTCGCGCGCCAATTACATTGAAAGTGCTCGGCTGCACCGCTGTAAACTCTGTCTCACTCACCAGAATGTACGAGCATGTGTTTTCGCAGACTGGAATACTCTGCAAAGGATCGCCCACAACCATCTGCTTCACACAGAAAAGGCTTCTCTCCTGGAAGCAGCCAACACACATACTGTTGAACTCCACAACACAAAGACTTAAAGGGATAGTAGGTGATTCTAATCCAATGCACTTTTTGTTTAATTCAGCAAATATTTAATATAAACTCATTCTGCAGGAGGATTGTTGATATTTTAACTCAACTGCCAAACAAATAACACCCCTCCTTTCAGTGCTCCCTCAGAAGCTCTGCCCCCTAAATTTCAAATCTGAGGTTTCTCCAGCAATGGAACGCCTTCACCCTTGCCTTGTCATATAACTTTCTTTTCTGTTTATTCTCTTCAGACCTTTTCCTTTTTGGTTGTTTCTCAGCTATATCTCCTTCTTCACAGTGCCTGGAGTCCAGCACGTTCAAATGTGCCAGTGTACAAAACTCTCTGCAACTGCTCCTGTGCATAGGCAGTAACTCCACCTGTTGCTGATTGGCTGGAACAATATTGTAGGGCAGGGTCCACACCACTTTCTTTGTTTTCCATTTACAGAGCTAGGGCTGTGTAGGAAAACAGTTTTTTTTTCCAGAGCACAAAACGAAGAGCTAGCAAACTGTGAGAAAAAGTGTATACTTACCATCCCTTTAATGTAATACACTTGTTATTGTAGATAAAAATGTAATATCATTTCATCCAACTAAGTGGATATTATAGCTCACAGAAAGTTGTTCTTCCAGACATTATGGGCAAAATATAAACACAGTAGAGTGTAGCTTGTCTGCTAACTGGTCCCTAGATAGAAGAAGCAGCCAGTGGGAACAGGCCATCAAAAATCTTAATGTTGCCCTAAAACAATTTGGCAGTACTGTTACTCATTGCAGAAGTTTAATGGCGGCACCAGTGCTGCTGACTCTTCAAATCTCCAGCCTTGACTGCACCAAGGAAGCATTAAATGAGCAGAGGCAAATGGCCCGAGTCAGTTATTGCTTCCAGCGGGTCTCCGGCTCCCTCACCTGTGTGTATGCGTCTGTGGTTCTTCAAGTTTCCAGCCGTGGTGAACTTCTTGCCACAGTTTTTCTCCTTGCAGATGAAGGGCTTCTCTCCGTTGTGAGTCCTCATGTGAACCTGCAGCCTCTGCAGCACGAAAAAACTCTTCCCGCAGCCCTCTGCGCTGCACCTGAACATTCGGTCGTTCCTGCGAGACGAGATAACCGCACAGACAAGCCTCGGTGTCTCCTGTGTACGCAAATTCATTTGTAACGGCCCGCCAAAAGGTCAGACAGGTCTACCTCAAATAAGATTTCCTACACAGATGTCAAGAGAGCTCCTGCAGTTCAAGTACAAACTTCTTTCAATGTCTCGGCTGTGTTTCTCCTGTTTGGCTGCTCTGTCTACGGTGTGATAAGCTGTGAAACATCTGTAAAACCAACATTAATTGGGCCACTTACAGTAAAGTTAAACTAACATACAGAATTAATCAACAAATGCTTTTGTTAGTGATATTAGGAATTTTGTTGTAGATAATAAAAAAAGGTTTCAAAATGTGATGAAATCATTTTTGTAATATCTCTGGAAAATATGCAGACAGTGATCGATCTGCTTTATATAAATTTGCGGTGAGCTGGGCAGAGCTGTTTGGATATAATTTCTGCACGATCTTCATGCACAGACAACAGAAGCACTAACCTCTCATTCAAGACTTCAAATATACCTGCTGCTTTTTGGTTAAACAGGTAATAATGGCTTGGAATTTACAGCTAACATTTTATTGCACATATGATATTTAAAAGCCACAGTGTGTAATGTGTAATCTGTATTAGCCTGCAAGCATGCATTATTATTTTTCAATATGGAAAATGTACCCACATTATCTATTTTGCAACAGCATCTTGTCGGACTCCTGCCCGGATCCATTGCTGTGTGTGACGTGTTACCTGTGCGTTTTGAGGTGGTATTTGAGATGAGCCGGCCAGGTGAACGTCCTGCAGCAACCCTCAAACGAACAGCGGAGGATCTGCTTGGAGAGGGGGCGGCTGGTCCGGGACTGCAGCTCTCTCTTGTCCCCGTCTGCTGTCAAACTGTGTGTGTGGTCACCTAGGCAACCAGAAGAGGGAAGTGAGCCGGATTGTGCAGAAAACAACCCCGGAGCGCCAGGTGGACGGCCTCTAGAGCCCGGCTGTATAAAAGCTAATCATTAGGTACTGACTGTGACGTGCTGAACAACTGCAGCCAAAAGAAAAACAACCCGAAGCTGATTTTTCACCTGATCGAACTCCCTGCTTTGAATGCCTTTAACAGGTCCAATTTTGCTTACAGCGTGCCAGCAGCAGTGCACCTATAACCGATACCCCGCTGCTGAAGGAAGCTTCTAGTCTAATCTAATGTAACTTGGAGGGCAGCCATTACCCTGGCTCAGATAGCAGAGTTTTAGTCCTACAATGAAACCAGTTAGTCTGCTATAGACATCGTGTTTAACAATGTATTAGTATATCAAGCCCTTTCTCGACTGGTACACTAGCTCGGCATATTTTTGAATGTGATACACTGTGTAAAACCATCTGGTGATATCAAAGACACTCAAAGCTGGATCCACATAGTCTATAAAAACATTTTCTTCTTTCCTTTGCTAACCATAATGGAAATATAATGAGGTCAAGGATAAATGTGGAGCCATCATAGCGTACGAGAGTCCATCTGAACTTAAAATAGGCTACATGATTAACTCAGGTCAGCCTGAAATACAATTTCCAATATTGCTTATGTAAAGAATTGTGGAAAAACTATATCTTCAACTACCACCATGTGTCAAAACACAGTACATGTTAATTCCAAGACAATGACAGCCATGATTAACTTAAAAATAGCACTTTTCCACACGTCAGCAAAAATTACAGTAAAGACAATATGAAGAAATAGTAATGCAAAAAGCAGTAAAACAGAAACAGCACATACAGTGAAGCAGCATTTACGTAAGACATCATAAACCATGGAAAACAGATCGAGATTGGGATGAAAGCAAATAAACCAGCCATGGGCTAAGTTGGGAATAAACTCTCAAATCACTTTTCTAACCAGGACCCCTAGCTGCAATTCGGCTCAGAGAGTTCAAAGATCAGAGATGTAGCTAGGAGCCATAGTGCCTTGAATGTCATGGGTAAAATCTTTATCTGACAGGCAGTCTGTGGAGGCAAGTTAAAATGGGTTGTGATGTGGTCCCAACTCCCGGTGCGGGTCAACAGCTTGTTACGGCACTGTGTGCTGCAGGAAAGGAACGTCTGTCAATGATCAGAGTAGAGAGCATTACAGGAAAGAGAGTGAGAAATGAGTAAGGAGTGGATAACTTTTAAGTAAGTATGCAACAGGTTCAGACATACTCTTGACAATCAAAACAGAGTTTGGAAAGTATTATACCAAGACAAGTGTGTAACTTTTACATTGTCCAAAAATTCCACAGGGAAAGGCCATTTATCAGCCAACAGCCTGGTATAATGCAGGAAAAACACAGGCGTAACAACATTAACAGTGGTTCCATTCCTTTAAGTTTCCCAGTAAGCCATGCCAGTGAGTGAGCCCTGGAAACTGGCTCACCTAAATGGAATTCAGCCATCATTTATCTTATTAAATCTACCTGTGCTTTTCCTGCTCGGACATTGCCTGCAGTAAAAATGGTCTAGTGCCACTGCAAAGGTTTTTAATCACACTTTAAAATCTTATGTTCCTAAACATTTTGCCACCATGGTGTTTAGATATGTGATTTCAGCGTACAAAAATTTGTGCTCCGTCAAGATATGTTGACACCTGAGGATCGACTACACACGTCACAGCACTATGCCTTTATGAATACAGGAGTCACAATTTCTTGGCTGGGAGAAGGTGGCAAACAGTGAAGACTCCAGAATGTTACTGGTCCAGAAAGATTGTCCAGCACCGACACCCAGTTAAAATGTCAGATTGTTGTTTTTACACCTCAGTTTTGTACAGATTAAAAAAACCCCAAAAAACAGCAGTGAGCTTCTGAAGTGCTGGTAGATGGATTTTGGACAGCTATTTCACCCCCCATTTCCAGTCTTTGTGCTAAGCTAAGCTAACTGGCTGCTGGGTGTAGCTTCATATTCACTACATAGAGATGAGAGTTGTATCGATCTTCTCATCCAACTCTTGTAGAGAAATCTAATACGCGTATTTCCCTAAATGTCAAACTATTCAGAACCATTAGTCACCCTATTATCCTCCATATAACCTTTTCCTGGTGGCTTGTTTACCTGATCGCCTGTGTGTCCTCTCCCCTTTCTTGTCTTTCTGATCACTACAGCCTCTCTCCCTCTCTGAAGCCTGCGTTCCCTATATAGTCTAAACGCACATTAAATCATTGCAGACAAAACACAACAAATGATGATCAAATAATGTGGCGTTTACAACTCCACTGGATATTTACAGACTTGTAAATCCATGTAGAAAAAGCTACACATTCATTTTGATTTAGAGACTTGATGATGAGGAGTGTTGAACACAATTTAAGTCAGTACTGATTACGCTACATTTTCTTCTCATCACTGACCTCATTTCTCTTTCTGTCTTTGATGCCTGCCATAAGCAGACCAGCTGATTTTATTTTACCATAAAACTGTGCTGCTTCCTGAAGACAGGCTTAATTTCTTTTTTATTTTCTGTAATTTTAGTCATAAACTTGACATTACAGCACAGATGGCTGTAATGCACATGCCACAAGCACTGCACACATCCATGAACAGCAACATACTGCAGTATCATATTTTGTTTGACTTTACTTTCCCAGTGTTAAAGACCTCTAAAACCACTTCTGTGACTTTACCGTTACTGACACTTGCAGCTCTGGCGTCCTGGCTGGCCTTGGCATCTCTCGCAAGCTGTGCCCGCGTGGCGGCAATCAGGCTGTCGTGTGCCAGCTCCTGTACCCGCAGATACCAGGGAGCACTGCCATCTATTCCATAGTCCCCCGATGAGACCCCCTCATCGTCATCCTCGCCGGCGCCATCTGCGGCGAAGATCAGTGACTCTGAGGAGGCTGTGATACCTGAGAGGGAAGAAAAGGCATGAGGGGAGCCACCGTAAAACAAGAAATTTAACACCATTGCAATATTCTGCAAGACCATCAGTGGCCTGAGCCCCTCTAGGTCACATTTATGAATTCATTATCGTTTTCCACGCTCAGCAATTTTGGGTTTAATGTTATGGCTTTATTCTGAAAGGCTGAGAGGATGCTGGTCATAAGACAGTGAAACAGCACATAAACACGCTAAAATAAAAAAATAAAAAATAAAAATCAATCCCTCTTTATTCGGGATCTGAATTCAATTTAACAATAGACAAAGTGATTTAGTCTACTGAAAGTCTTTTCTATCCTCCACATCGCTCACTGAGTCATAGACACTGCACAAAAGGTATAAGTCAAGGGACCAAAATTAATTTTTTGGCTCTCCTGCCAATGGGCTGATTGAACCAAGTGTGCCTGCCAAGGATCATTTCTTCCAGCCAAAATTATTCAGTTTTCTTCCGGAAAATGTGTCACCCAATTTCTTTTTAGTGCTGTGTGTAGAATCAGGGGCCGTGCAAGATACAAAGTACACACACAAGATCAGATTTCAATGTAGAACTAGGAAGTGATTCATCATACAGGAATAATGTTCGGTATCCGTTAGGGTGGCAAACACTTTATTTTCCTTATCGATTGATCTATTGATTACTTTTTTTAAATAACTGTAACAAAATAAGGACAATGCCAATCACAGCCAGTTCACTGTTTTCAGCACTATTAGTGTAACAATTCAGACAAGGAAAAGCTGTTTTGTTTGTCTTTTCTGATGGTGTAAATCTGGTGTAAATGTCAGTGTTCCTTTACCTTTTGCAAGGTTCAGTAGGACGTAGGAAGTGCTGTCTGACTGCTGTAGGTCATGGAGGATAGGTGGGGGGCTTGTTGAGGCCCGGGGATGAGTGTGTGTGTCGACCACTAACGGGCTTCGCGCTGATACACCTCCAAACTCTGACAGGGAAGGAGAACTCTCAGACACATGGCTCAGGCCTCCATCTGAGGAGAAACCCAGTGTTTATTAGTTTAAGTCCTGAATAAAAACAGCATGTTATCTGCATATGAATACCCCAAATAATCAAACCATGGTTTAAACAGTTTGGCAGGTACAATAAGTGCACAGTGACTGCATTAATGGCATGTATGCCACAATAAGGTACAAGCAAACATGAACACAAGACAATGCAGGTCTGAAATATAGATAACCTTTTCAATTATGTAATGAGTAAAAATTTATATTCAACATATTTAAGGCTTCAAAGACGCACACAATACAATTTGCTAAGAAACACTTATATACCTGTATAAATATAATATAAACATACCTGTGTTTGCTGCTTACAAGAAAACTATACATAAAGCCAACAATAAGCAAATCTGCAATGCCAAAAGACAAACTATCAAAGACATAGTGTGTCATCAGAGGGATCTGTCCATCCAAACACAACAGCTATGGATTCAGAAGTATCTTAAAGCAAGTTATGTGCTTTTCTGAAGGCTAGAGCTGGACTTAATAACCATATTTTACATACAGAGGGGAGATCAAGTATTTGATTTTGCAGGTTTTCCTACTTACAAAGCATGTAGGTGTCTGTAATTTTTATCATAGGTACACTTCAACTGTGAGAGACGGAATCTAAAACAAAAATCCAGAAAATCACATTGTATGATTTTTAAATAATTAATTAGCATTTTATTGCATGACATAAGTATTTGATCACCTACTAACCAGTAAGAATTCCGGCTCTCACAGACCTGTTAGTTCTTCTTTAAGAAGCCCTCCTGTTCTCCACTCATTACCTGTATTTAACTGCACCTGTTTGAACTCATTACCTGTATAAAAGACACCTGTCCACACACTAAAAACAGACTCCAACCTCTCCCCAATGGCCAAGACCAGAGAGCTGTGTAAGGACATCAGGAATAAAATTGTAGACCTGCACAAGGCTGGGATGGGCGACAGGACAATAGGCAAGCAGCTTGGTGAGAAGGCAACAACTGTTGGCGCAATTATTAGAAAATGGAAGAAGTTCGAGATGATGGTCAGTCTCCCTCGGTCTGGGGCTCCATGCAAGATCTCACCTCGTGGGGCATCAATGATCATGAGGAAGGTGAGAGATCAGCCCAGAACTACATGGCAGGACCTGGTCAATGACCTGAAGAGAGCTGGGACCACAGTCTCAAAGAAAACCATTAGTAACACACTACACCGTCATGGATTAAAATCCTGCAGTGCACACAAGGTCTCCCTGCTCAAGCCAGCGCATGTCCAGGCCCGTCTGAAGTTTGCCAATGACCATCTGGATGATCCAGAGGAGGAATGGGAGATTGTCATGTGGTCTGAGACAAAAATAGAGATTTATGGTCTAAACTCCACTCGCCGTGTTTGGAGGAAGAAGAAGGATGAGTACAACCCCAAGAACACCATCCCAACCGTGAAGCATGGAGGTGGAAACATCATTCTTTGGGGATGCTTTTCTGCAAAGGGGACAGGACGACTGCACCGTATTGAGGGGAGGATAGATACAATGTGATTTTCTGGATTTGTTTTAGATTCCGTCTCACGGTTAAAGTGTACCTATGATAAAAATTAACAGACCTCTACATACTTTGTAAGTAGGAAAACCTGCAAAATCAGTAGTGTATAAAATACTTGTTCTCCCCACTGTAGCATAGCAGAGTCAGGTGGAGCTTGTCAAAGCTTTGTTTAATAACATGAGGTTAAAAGCAATGCAACAGTAATCCAAATCTAAAAAAGGCACGATGAGAAGAACAAATCTAGAACACCAAGAAAACTGTACGCATGAATAAACATTTTGTATCTATTCACCATTTATCATGGATTACTGCACTGAAATTTAAAATAATGTGGCACCTCATGTATTCCATGACCATCTTTCACCTATGCATTGTGATACAAAATTAGATGCAGATGCATATCTCTGGATTGTGGAATGTTTTATAATAGACTATTGCTTACTTTAAACCTGCAATAACTGATTTTTTTGCCACGTGGGGGCAGCACAAGCAAGTTGTGAACACAACACTGACATATCATCATTAAATCAGTATGGTGAACTGGTTAGCAAACAGCTGCTCATTTATGCAAACAGCAGTTATGGAGCAACATTAGCATTCATTTAGAGTTGTGTTTCCACTCTCTTTTAGCTCTGTTTTTTGGTCTCCACCAACTACTAAGGGAAAGATCTGACTCTTTAGCTGCTAAATGCTCCGCTATGTTCACCAGCTAGTCACTAACTTTGTCTGTCTGCCATTTGATGCTGAGCAGGTAGTGTACACTACAGTGCATTTTCATTTACTCATTTGGCAGACGCTTTTATCCAAAGCGACTTACATTTGAGGAACAACACACAATCATCAAATACAGCACCAGATCTACAACTGACAATACATATTAATAAAAGCAGCAATAAATACTAGTAAGCGCTAATGGCACATATCAGAGCTTTTCCGCTGAAAATGATGCTCTGAGAGCGTGAATCAAAACAGCAATGTTGTGGGCTGGACAGATAAACTATCAGCTGCAGCTATAAAGTGCTGTCATGAAGAGGGGAGCTGCACATTCTGGTGATAATTCTCTGTAGGTTTACCACTACAAGCAACCCCTTTTACATTGTCATTTAATGCATAGTTATGACCAAAAAAACAACATTTTAGAAAATTCAATAATGATCTGCCATGTTAACTTAGGTTTATGTCTTCTTCAATTACACAGATAACAGTGATGAAGCAGAGATGATTGTCTTGGACTACAATTTGCAAAATAATTTGTACATGAACAACATACTCAGAGGTAACCTGTGAATGCCAAACCCTTTTTGATTGTGCTGTCTTGACAGTGGAGGTGCCAAACATTTGTGGGATTGTTGTCGTACAGCTGTAAACTGTGTGGCCCACAACAAACGACATAGCAGTAGAACAGAACGCTAAATATAAATCACTAGTGTAATTGTTTGACATGTAGCAGCACTGAAAATGAGGAAGCTCTCAATACTACTGCTAGTATGTGGCCTGTGGTGGACAGGACAAGAGCAATGAGGAGCTGCTGACCTGTGAGCTCCAGCGGGCTGCACAGTGAGCTTTCAGCTGGAGCCAGCAGAGGCAGGCAGGAGTGTTTGGACTCCGAGTCCTCCAGACCCTGGACCAACGGGATGGACGCGTTCTGCACAAACTGCACCAGCAGCTAAGAGGAGGAGGAGGAGAGGAAAGGAAAGAGCCATAGCATGAAAACAAGTACAGTGCTACGTGTAGTAATCCAGGACAAGTCACAACACAGTCTTGTTCAACTGCGATAAAGATGGAGCATGCAAACGATGACAGGATTACCTCTGGTTTGGAGTCAAGCTCATCAGAAAGCATGGGTCACCCTGTGTGGAACCTGTAGGATAATACGCTGATCCATTAAACGCACCCAGGTTTGTTACGACTGGCCCAAGTCTAATCAAAATCAAACCAAGACTTACCTCAGATTTGACCTAAATGTTGAGATTCTCTGTCGCTCATAAGCGTAGGGTGCAGGTCATCTCTCAGTCAAGACCATCACACAATCTGTGGTGAAACGACAAGACAAAACGTCAAATGATCAAGTTAGCTGTAACTGACGCCTCTGCGACAACGAGTCGCGAAAAGTTTGACAGTTAAAAGACCAAATAACTCAAAACTATTTCGCTGAATGTAGCTATTACAGCACGTCAGTCTAAACCGTGTTGGGTAACGTTAAAACAGGTGAGGATCACAGACTGCGTTGTTAACTTAGCTAGCAGGGTTAGCAGTTGCCAAACTAGCTACCGGGGCTACTAGACAGGTGTTAGCTGCCAAATGTCAAAGCCTGGCCGCTGACGATACACCATGCTTGTATTTCATGTCGTTAAACCCCCAATAACACGAAAGTAATTCGTTTACCTTTTAATAGTTCTGTAAGTGAGCTACAGCGTGAAAACGGCTGGATAATTATCCCAAAACAGAGTAGCAGGTTTGGTCTACGGCGGCTCCGACGGAACAATGCTTGTTTGAACACTTCCGCGTTTTCCTCGCAGGGATCCTGTATCATCGGCGCCATCCAGTGGTTAAATCATCTGTAAACTTCTGTGTAAGGCCAGCGAAAATTCCCTCTGTAGTCAAAAAAAAAAAGATATGGGCATTGCTCTTTGGTAAGATGCTAAATAAACAAAACCCTAAATACCCTCAAAGACCCCCCACACAGTTATTTGTCATGCATTTTAAATTATAGTTGTGACGGCCCCTCATCTCTCTTCATACTTCGGTTGGTGTGTTTTCTGTCTCCAGGGCTGCAGACCTGATTGGCAGGGTACAGCGGCATGGGACACACCTGGGCCCGGTATGCCCCATGCGTATAGAAGCCAGAGCAGCAGTTAGTCTGGGGTTGGACCTCCTTCATCTCACAGTTTCCGTTGTTTTGTTTTTGGTTTCTTGTCTTTGTTTTTACAGCACAACATCCATGCAGCACATTTTCACTCATCCACTCCCTACACTACTGACTTTACAGATTCTTCCCATTCATTGGTTTCGCTTATTTTCTTATTAATAAATCACTTTGTTATTTAGTTTACTCTTGTGTCTCCCGTTTTTGTCCAGTCCATGAGCCGGGCTGTGACATAGTATAAACAAAATAAACTATTTATTCACAAATGACAGTACCCAGCCACAGCCTGATCGCCCTGCTGCCACCTGGGAAGTGATATAAAAGCTTTTTCCCCCCAAGCTATGAGACTTTTAAACTCAAATTCATCCTCAGCACTACTCAACTGAATATAGTTTATTTCTGTCTGACATTTTACGATTTCTTTTGTATTACTGCCATGTTGCAGAAGGGAGTTACAAACTTAATTTCACTTTACAACCTGTTGTAATGTGACAAATAAACCTACCTTCTATAAGACCTCCAGGTTCATCTTGAATTTGTAGGGAGTTACAGTGGGAATTATCTGAGGAAATGTAGTGGTTTCTAATTCACAAACTCCATGTACTAATAACAATGGGTGTGCAACACACAATTCTCCTTTCCTCTGTCTTGACATTTGCATTAATGTGACAGTAATATGGGGTTCCACCAAACACCTTAATCTAATGACTTACTGATAATTATTCAACAATATCTCTTAATTAATGCTTAATTGTATGCAGGGGAACTGGAGAGATCTGTTAATGCTCAGTTTGTTCTATGTATACAGACATCAAGATCTCAGTCATTTTGAATAAAATTACATCTCATAGTTTATAATTTGGGGGTATTTACACCAAGCATGGAGAAAAATAAACTCTCACAAGATTTGACTGCAGAGGAATAGATGTAGGCCCATAATAAACTCCTGAAGTGTAATGTCCCGGATTTCTATTTAGCTACTCACTTTCTCCCAAGTTGGCAAGTGTGAGGAGAGAGATGTGTGGAAAACACAAAAAGTAAACATTTCAGTCTTGCTCCTTCTCACCTCTAAGACTCAATACTCAATGCTAGTCCTCTCCGTGAAATGTTGTCTGAACTGATTTTGGACAATCAAGAAACAGTAACCATTCATTTGGACATATATCCCTGTAAAATAAATACCAGACAGGACATTTTCTTTGGAATGACATTTATTACACAAGCAATGAGTCTCTAACTCGAAATGTACAAAAAGAGCCCTAAAACACATTAAATCAAACCCTTCCTTGACTTTAGGTTATTGATCTTTGATTGGTACAGCTGAAATGTCATTATTTACATTATGTTCCATGTCCTCAGAGGTTTTAAACTTTTAAGACATTAAAATGATTTTGGTAAATCCTCTGCAGGGATTTCAGCAACTTCCTGCATTGTAGAAAAAAAAAAAGACTGCCAGCAAGCTACACTACATTCAGCCTGCCTAATTCCACTAAAGGAATCCCTCGGTTAGAGCTATTGATCATTTTGTCCATCACTACTGTTGGCGCACTACTGAAACATTTTCATAAAATAATCCTTTTTTACAACCATTTTTTGGATCTTTAAAATGAAAGAAGGCAGACAAACGCACTGGAGGAAACAAAGCTGCCGACATTTATATGTAAAACTCAAAATCCAGTGTAACAAAATTACATTTTAATTACATTACTACTGTACAAGCAAAACCAGTCTTTACACTTTTCAATTAACTTCCTGTTTTGAAAACATAACATTGCGGCCACACGTGAATATGACAATGACAATAAAAGCTGATTGCAACCAACAAGGGAAGCTCTTAAAAAAAGATGGGCATGAGCAGCGTTGTGCTATTCTCAGCCAAAACGTCATTGGCCTTTTTTGATACTTAAGTAACATAATTTATCCCACTGGCAGTGGACCGGTATCGGAAATGCAAGATCTAATTTCAGAAGGCGTCCTTTAAAACATTTGTAAGATTTTCAGACTCAGTTATAGTGACATGTTAAGAAACAACAACATCAACAACAGTAATTCAAAGAATATAGCATCTGTCTGTGCATCTGGTTGAGGAAATGGTAACAATTCCAGACATTTAAAGTTTAGGCAAATATGCGAGTATGTTGTTTGTCAAAGAAATAGAGAAAAGCAAATGTTGCACTGGTAGGTCTTGACTCTGAAGGACATGTGACAGCTGTAAATACAGCTCAAACACACTGGCATTTGTTCTTGGCTAAAGTAAAAGGCCAAAATAGTGCCAACTGTCCTGTTCCTGTCCTGTCTGAGTGTCTTTAATAAGGCCTTCATTAAGGACACTTTAACTTGATGTCATTGTGACATGGCCTCAAAGCAGATAGCAGATTTACACACAACAGGAGTTTAACTTGGAGCCAAATTAAGTTTAAAACTCAACTTCATCTCTATAAATCATTTCCCCCCCAAGTACAAATTACTTATAACAGGGGAATCCCAGGCTCAGGAAAATTCAAACGTTACAAGCCGGCTGGTAAGGTCAGATGCAACCCAAGAAAACTGTTTTGTCATCTAATAAAGTGGAACTATGCAGATTGTTTTACATCACCATGAGCTGAGGAGCTCCTGCACCAAAATCCACCTAAATACCTCAACTCAAGTTTGATAAGGATTACATGCATTTAAAAAAAGATTTTGGGAGTGGTTTGTGGTAACTCAACTGGCTACAATAATCAAAGCAATGTTTAGAGAGGAGATATTCAACTCCCAAAACATTGTACATTGCATGTGGGTCTGTTTTGCTGACAGTGGAACTAGTGAACTACCGAAAAGAAACTGGGTGGAGTAAGTGAGGTGGCCTCAAACTTGTCAGCACAACCTTAAACTATCAGCCAGAGGGCTGAATGTCAGACAAAGCGTGGTCTTCCAGTAGGAGTATGAGCCCAAACACACATCAAATCTCTAACATCTGAAACATACTGATTAATTTACAGAGTTTATTGTTGAAACAGCGAGTCCTCTTCAGAGATAAAATGTCCACTGATTCTGACTGAGACACAGTCTGTGCATAAAAGCTGAAAGTTAATCAGTGCACTCCAGTCCCTTCAAATAAAGCTGAGATTTAAAATGAAACACCCACAATTTATTCAAAAAAGAACCCAAACTTCTGAGTTGATGTGACAAAGACTTTGGTGCATTTTGTTGCAGAATACATGACTCAAGCGCACATTAACTTTTCAAATTAAACCTGCAGTGTGGAACTTGTGTATCCCAATTCTGACAGGGAGGGTAAATACACCACACTGTCGACAGGAGTTGTTGCGGTCGCTAACCAATGACTGCTGGTTAGCATAAAACACATCACTACCGGTTCGCCAGTGTGAGATTGTCGCCACTTGTACCACATTTAAATGTCCCACACTCAAGCTTTAACTGTATTGATGTTCTACTCACATGGAATAAGACTGCAAAAGTAGGATATAAATGATTCCTTACTTCATATGTTCCATATGAACCATTTTAAGTCAACCCAAGCACAGAAAGTAAGTTTTCATCACATCAAATATTATTCTCTAGTTAAAGACAAAGTGTTCAATACTTAATGTAAATATTATGTGTGGCTGTACTGAGAGGAATTGTATGTTTTTTTCGTATAAGGAATAGTATTATACATTGGTATGTGTACTTATGATGCCTCACGACACACTTAAACCAAAAAGGTTTTGCAGTCTGCCTCAAATGAGCTACCATAGCTGCCATTAAAGTCTGCCCAGAAATTGATTTCAGAGCTACATACTTTAGTGCAAATGCAAGTTCTGTGGCATACACTGGGTGGATACTTAAGGCGATCATTTATAAACATCCAAAGAAATTAATAATAAAGCACAAAACTCCACAAGTGTTCCTAATTTGGATGTTGCAATTGTTGGGACTTTCTTTGTCAAATAAAAGTAAAAAAGTCTGGATTGACGAGGCCCAAAGCTGATGACTTTGTCAAGAAAACCGACTTGATGCTCGTCTTAGCGGACTTGAAAAGGTTCACACAACTGATATTTCATACAAACAAAAACAGAAAGGAACTTTAAACAGAAAAGGTCTGCACATAAGTTAGACAGTATTACCAGATTAAATTACACCCATGTATATAAAAAAAACAAATGACAGAAGTCACTGATAAATAAGGTTGAATACAGGAAGAACCCTTTACACTGGGATGTTACTGGGGGGAAGCATCTAACTGGCTGGCTTTATTTCAAGCCAGTTCGCGCTGTATTACAGCTGCCATCAACATGATGGGAATGCAAAACTTGAAACCATAAAGGGGGCATGCCAAATCTTTCCCATCAAGTTTTAAAATGCAGCAGGACTTAAAAAAACACTTCAGGCACTCGTTTGTCTATTTAAAAGATGCTGACTGGCAAGAGGCCCTGGACACATAAGCCTGTCATAATCACTGAGTTTGCGTTACAGTGATTGCTGCATAAAATAATTCTGATTACGTACACACTTGGACTGCACACGCCTCGTCATGCACTGTTAAAGTTCAAATATCCAGTCAGGGGTTTTAATCGAGCGTTCAGATGAGCCTGTATTGTTCATTCAGTAAAAAAAAAAAAAAAAGTTTATTTGTTCGTCCTAGATCCAAATCTCTCAGGGCTTCTGTGTCTTGATTTCCAATAAGCAAAAGCTTTCTGTGCAGCAGAGGCAGTTTCAGTACCTCACAGTGCAGTGAGGTGTGGTTCTGGCCTTGTTTGACCGTAAGTCCCTGACACACCGAGCCCACAGCTGGCAACCAGGCAGCACTTTAGGTGTGTGGCTAACGATCCTCCATAGCTTTTGCAGCGTGTTCTTCCCTGATGGCATTAGTTGGACCTTATCTGTGGCTGTTTGGATGATAGAGCTTGTTGAATCAGCAATAGAGGCAATTAGAGAGAGCTCTCTGACTGACTGAGCAAATTCAGTGAGGCTCTTTCTTGTTTTTCACCTCCATGTTTTCTTTTTGCACAAGCTAAAGACCACAGGCTGACAACATCAGGGTAGGGCAAAGCAAGGTGTACAATGTCCACTGAAACAAAGGAGATATGACGACCTTCTAAATTCATAATCTCAGCATACAATGGGACTATTTCCACAATTTCTGTGGAAGTGTAGTTTGCTTTGCTTTCCCCGATGTTTGCTGGATTATAAACACAGACTGCTGAGTAAATAATTTCTTCTCACACAGGTGCACAACGTATGTGCATGTTGGCAGTCAACTGGCCACCATCTACAGTCTTACGAGTTCACGTGCAAATTCTAACAACTGCACCAGTTCTTTGAGGTCGGGTTGGTGTGTCAGGGCCCTTAGGCAGCAGACAACCGCAATGTAAGCCACAGCCCACTGTTTGTGTATGAGAGAGTCTGGGGGGTGGGTGCATGTTGAGACATTATTTTCGGTCCATCTGTCTCTGCATGCTCCAACCCCCAACCCTGGCCTGCATTTCCTCCCATCTCAATCTAAAGGATTACTGTCTAGTACTAGTCTAATCGGCCTTTAAGCTGGTATGAGCAGCACTCTCCTCCTCTTTCTCACCGTCTTCCTCCTGAAGCCTGGCCTGCAGCTTGACACAGATGCTGGTGTCACCGCTGCCCAGCGCCTGAAGGAAGAGGTCCGTGTGTTCTTTTAGCCGGTCTAGGTCGTTCTGGATGCGGCGGTTCTGCCGGTGGAGCTCCTTGGTGCGGAGCGCGATGTCGAGCAGGCCAGATTTGCTCAGGATGTTGTAAGTGTTGCAAAAACGCTTCCGCTTTGTATCAGAGTCACCGTCACTGTGGTTACATTCCCCTGGGTTGTTCTCCTTGGTGGCTGGCCGGGGAACGAGTGTCTGTTTTTTAGAGCCAGTGATGTGAGTCAAAGACACGGAGGAGGTAAACTCTGCCTGGCTGACAGCTGATGAAGGCCTCTCCCTGGTAGGACTACTGCCAGCACTGGTTTCTGTTGTGTGCCGAGAAAGTCGGCTCTGGAGAAGAGGAGACACGGTGCTCGGAGTAGCAGGAAGACTGGGAGTTGCTGAGCCAGAGTTACTAGCACCATCACACAGACTTCTCTGCTGCTGCTTCTCTCTGTGTCCCTGGCGGTGGGAGGCCAAGCTGCTACCTCTCTCAGAACCCGAAGAGGAGGAGGAGAAGGAGTAAGAAGAAGAGGAGGAGGAGGAGGAGGAGGAAGCAGTTCCTCTCCCTGAGGAACAGGAGCTGTCTCCAGGATGGGGAGCAATCTTGGGGTAAGATTTCAGAATTGGAAGATACTTTTTAGGGCGTCGGTGTCTAGAGGAGGCCTCTTTGGGGGCCGGGGAAGCTTGACGAGAGACCACAGGCTGGAGAAAGACCACCTGAGGTTGCTGGACCACAGGCTGAACCACCTCCACCGTGGGACTAAACCCCCAGGGCTTCAGAGCAGAAGGATTTTCTCCAGGCTGCAAAGGCAACAAAGTCAAAATTGAGAGCTTTAAAAAGCAGGTCCATCACAAGCACTTCTATTTCACATGTTTGTTTACAATGAGACAACGAAAAGGAATTTAAAATGTAGGAATTCGCAACACTCTTGACATGAGTGAGAAAACCATGAGCAAAATGTACCAATTAACCATTTAGTCTATGAAATGGTCAATTCTGACAAACACCCATCACAACAAATTTACACAAAGCAGAGACTCCGGCTAAATGTGAAAACCCACAAACTATAAACTTTATAATGATATAAACCACACATTTGGTATTTCTTAGGAAATTGGCTTATGATGCAAGTCTACTGACCACACATTCAACCTGCGTCGTACCCATTCATGAGACAGCTGTCACCGGTCAACCTCTGGTTGTCACCATTAGGGAGACTTCAGCCTGCAGTGTAATTCTATACATTTCACCGATTTACATTACGTAATTACCAAAGTTTCCCTTTTACTTTTCTCAGAATCTCTCACTCTAGCTTGCACTCACATGCATGCTTTCTATTTCTCTCTTTTTGTCTCTAAAGGTACTAAAATGACTTTTGTACGCCTATATCACTAAATGCATTTCCATCCCTAACAGACATGCCTGGTCACCCATGTTCAACCCATCTGGAGGGTCCGATAACCATGCCGACTTGCAGTCCATTCATTCAGACAAACTGCAGATGCAGGTTAGACCCCTATTATCAGCAACAAGTCTATTTAAACAAAAGCCTGAAATTTATAATTATATTTTAATAGCACGAGCACTTTGACATTGTACTGACATGGTGTGATGGAAATAAACCATTTCAAATAATCAATGAAAATAAAGAGGTGTTATAGTCTAAAGTGATACCACTGAGTTTAGCATATTAAAAGGTTCAATAAAAAGTCTCTGCTCATCAAACTATTTGAGGCCAAAATCTTTTTTTTTTGCCATTAATTCTCCTTTACATCTCTGCTGTTGGTCAGCAAGTACTCATATGTGAATGGTCAATCCTTTTTGGGGACACATTTCAGGCAGCTGTGACTGGACTGGAAGTTAAACACAGGTGCAATAAAACTGGACCACAACTTTCCTGTTGAGACCTACTTATATTACTGCCAAAAGTTGAAAGGTTTAGGGCTCAACTTGAGTGGAAGCAGAGAACGGGTTCATCCACACAGATGTGTGTATGTATTTGTGTGTGTTATGAGGTTTAAGTTACAGTGTTATGGTTTTGCAGTGTACCTGTTTGAGGAGGACGTTGTTCATGATGATCATGGGAGAGAGGCTGGAGTAGGAGCCTCCCACCACAGCCAGCTGAGAGGCCTGGGGCCCCGAGCCAGTTGTATGCTGCCCCTGTGGTACAACAGGACGGGGTGAATCCTCAGAGTCTGTGGTGTCCATTATGCTCATGTGCTCAGAGCCTCCATCTATAGACCAGGCAGAAGAGTAATTGGGGTTCAATTAAGTGATACCTTATAATCTAAGCACATAAAATTGAAGAAGAGCAAGGAAGTCGAACCTGAGAATCCAGAGTCTCTCTCTGAATCACCCCGGGAGCCTCCAGACTTCATGATGCGTGGTCTGTTTGCTGCCCTTGAGTGGCTCTCTGCCTTTCTCTTGGTGCTCATCTCCTTTCCTGCTGCACTGACAATGTCCTTGGCTCGAAAGGCTCTCACGGCAACTACATCAGCATATGGAAAGGCTGGGAATCAAACAACACTCAGGAGACCCTTTTTCAAGCCAATGACAGACTAGAGTTGTGTACAAAAACACAAAAGGTGCTAGCTGACATGTTCAGTTAGAGCTGGACAGTATGTTTATCATGATTTGGGAGTGTGTGCAAGTTATTCTAATATTGTGTTTTTAAAAAAAACAAAAACAAAACAGTTCTTCCTGGTCTTAAATTCTGCATTAACATAACAGTTAACGTTAGAGTTTTTCTGGCTCTAACGTTACTGGACAGTCCAGGTGAGTGTAATGAACAACGAAAGCCTATAATATTAGCCATCTGTTTGGCCAACGTTTTCTTTCACCAACAGTACATCTATTAACCTCTCATAGTTTTGTACGATTAACGTAATTGGAAAAAAACGCCAAAAGCGGTCAACAAAATACTGTCAAAGTAACGTCACCGATGTAACTTAGTACCGGTTAATATAAAGATAACGTTGCTACATTTAGTTATTATGGGGCTAACGTTAACCTAATTAAAGTCTTAACTTAAATAACGTTACCGTAAACGCTACATTTGCATGACATCTGAAAAGGGAGTTCATTCAGTAACGTTATAACGTTTGATATTTGACGGCCTAACTAACGTTAGCTAAAAGAAACACTTCAGAAACGCAACACTTGAAGTTAACGTTAGCACTTTGGTTAGCTAACTTACGTTACGTGCCAACGCAACACAAAGCTAACCTTAGCGCGTTCACTGACTCACTGTTGTAGTAACGTTAGTAAGTACAAAAACACCACAAACGTTAGAGAAACACAAAAGAATACGCATAACGTTACTTTGTCCTTGGCGCTGTTCCAACGACCCTTTCTTCAAATCTGAGGGGTGCGAGCCTGGGTCGAGGTGCCTGTTGTGTCTCGGCGACTTATTTCTTCCTTATTTTTGTCGGTGTGTCCGATGCTGCTGCAGCCCAGCCAGAACTCGCTGTACCACATTACAATACACGAGACTGCCCGCCCCTCCCCTGTACATGTCACATGCGGAGCAAGGTGGCAACAGCCGTTAACCGTTGCAGTTTCATTGTCTGCAATCGTCAACACGGAAAGTAGGTGGCCCGTATGCTTACGCCCATCTACAGACAATCGTTCCTGGACGGGCACAGGGCAGGATATACTCATACTTTACAACCAATCATCCATATTTGGAAGTGGCCTTGTCTGGAGTTTGGGATACGTCACAGTCTGTGGGCTGCTACGCCCGCCCACGGATCCATTTCCTGGCTTCTGATTGGCCGGCGCAGCCAGCAGCTGAAAAACGTGACCCCTGCCAAATGTGTGGCAAGTTAAGGACATTGTGTTCGTGGGTGTACAGTGCAGACATCGCAGTTGTACTGTCGGTGAATCCAGTGACGCGAGGGTTTGAGCGTAATGTTCTAGTGTATTACATAATAGCCTGGTAGGCCGACAGCTAACCTAAGCAGGGCAAGTTTTCTTTCTGCCGCATGTTTGAAGAAGTAAATAAAACACTGCCCCCGGAACAAAACGTCCTCACGTGCAGGAATGCTGCTCTGAACTGCAGTACTGCAGTAACAAAAATGGAGTAATTGGTTTCTGATGGAATAATGCATATGTGCCTATAGACGGACTTGTGTCTAAAAAACATAAGAGCAGCATAATAGGTCTTCCTCATGCTGCAGGAGAATGTTTTCACCAAGTAGAAATAGTTGTCCAAAAAACCCTAAGAAGATTACAGTACCTGATGCCACTCAATTGAAATCCATTAAACAAAACTGGTCCTGACACCTACCATATTAGGAAGCTTTTTTCCCATCCTAATGGTCTACCAATGCAAACTCAATAAAACAGAGGTTCCTTGTATTTGGAGTGGATTTTATTTAATCAACTTATCATGTCTCATAATTAGGCAGAGGAAATTACACCTTACCGAAATTCACATAGGCTACATGATTTCTTTTTTTCAGTATCTGTAGCCGTGCAACAGTAGGCCTACAGAATTTGTGTCACAGCAATTATAAACAGGAGTCAATATGCAAAAAGTGAATGAACAAGAAGTCGTGGAGAAGGTCCCTGGCCTCTCTGTTAATGTTGCCATTGATCTGACAGAGAATCATGAACACTTAAAGGTGGATGAAGGCATTAATCCTTTCCCCTGGCAACTGATAAGCTTGCAGCATTCCACCTGTTATCTCCTGCTGCCTATCCTTAATACATTGGATCCTATGTCTATTTTTAAAACCTCACACAAAAGCATCTAGATTTTAAAATTCTAAATTGTCATGTTAGTTCATTTAAAAGCAGTTAGAGTGGAGAGGAGTCTGCAGATGTGGTTGTTTGCTGTGATAATTAATCAAACAACTAAAGAATGCCTCGGGCAAGATAGAAAGTCTGATGGATGCACAGATTAGGAAAGATATATGCAGACAGAGGATGAATAGTCACATATGATCAGTTCACAGATATGCAGTTGTTTGTCACTCCAAAGTCACTCATCCGATTAAATTTTGGACAGATGTGGGAATCAGTGAAGGTTTATCTTGTTTTGAGGGAACTGGCACCTGAAAAGACAAAAATAAACGATTAAAGAAATTCTAATTGAGACTAGGGTTTGTCTATGAAATACATCTGTGTGAATGTTATCTGCATTTTGAGTGAGATAAATTGCTCTTTTCACTGACAGATGAGTTTCCTAAATTTGAAAAAACGTGCTCTGAAGGTTATGGGACCCACTAATGTGTTACTATGCAATCTCAGCACTACAAATCACCACTCAAATGATCATTATGACACTTATATGGAGGGATTAGAGGGTTGTAGATCTCTTAAGACAGAGCCTCTGTGTGTAGTGACATTTCGCAATGCAGAGTGAAAAGGCAAAATGACCTTCTGAACAACCCAAGTAAAATCCAAACCATTCACTTCGAACGTCATACATCATACAATTTAGACCCTCTGTATCTGCTGGAAGTAATTAAAATCCTTGCAAATGTGTGGTCACTAGACCACTAAAGATGGGGTGGAGGGGTCATGAGAATGGGCCTCTGGCACTGTTTCTATGTTTTACAAAAGAATAGGAGCCAAGACAAGTCATGGTGCAGCATTAGCATTGTGCTTGACTACACAACAATAAGGCTACACAGGTTCCTACAGCATAAACAAAATGCTATACTTGATGTGGGAATCTACAGACCACCACCAAACCCAGTCCAATGTCCGGCTTTTAGTGTGGCCGATTCAAAGGATGGACTCGTTTTAAGAAGGGATCTTCAGAGACAGAGATACCGTGACTTTCTGTCCCTAGTGTGGATCAACCTCCTAAAGCTCTGGATGCTACAACTCCTTTATCAGCTTGACAGTGTCAGCCTCATTAATGACCACACCTCCCTGTTCCCAGTTTTGTCATACAGGCTTTCCACCGTAACGCTGTAGTCTCCAAGCCAAGGTCATCACTTTGTGTTGAAAAGGGGTGGGGACGTGATGATACAAGTGTGTCATGAGACTTGATGATGGTCAAGAACAAGATGAAAAGATTTTAACACTATTTTGAAGAAATCTGAAATGCTGAAACATATGAGTGGGGGGTCTGGAGGTCCTCCCCGAGAGGACTAATAAACTGATCTTCACATTTGCAATCTGTGAAGTGGCCCTTTTTACAGAAGCACTTTGTAACATTTTACAAACCTGTCTCCAGCTTTAAACTTTAAAACCTCATAATGTAGTATTTTCAATGCCCATTATTATTACTATTTTGGGCACTTCATTCTTTATGGTAACGCCTTAATTTGGTTACTAATTCAAAATTGGTTATACAACAATTTCCCTTGTCAAGAAAAAGAGAAACAAAGAGGGGAAGAGGCACAGAGAGATTGCCTGGGACAAACACTGCCCTGACCTGTATGAGAAGAGAGTGAAGCCCACAGATAAACATAACAGTAAACTCACTGCACATAAAACTCTTGGATCGGACTATAAAATGATACGTGTGACATTGCCCTGGGAAACCTTTACACTGGCCACCCTCGGTTGGAACTATCAGCGGCCTTGGCTTATCGTGCTACAAAGACCGCAGACAGTATGTTGTGATATTGTTTAATCTCATCTGTCCTTGGTAGTCTGACAGTGTGACGGAACAGTGATTAAAAGTAGTCATAAATGTCCAAACATCATGAAACAGTGTGAGTGTGCACCATGGGGGGGGGGGGGGGGGGCGCAATCCATCTCTTACTTGCCACAGCCGTTTGCTGTCTTCTTCTGTTTCCTCCTCTGAGGTCTGTCCTTGATAGACTCAGCGCTGCTGTGGAGCGAGAGCAAAGTGCAATAAAGATATTGATGTCTTCAACCCTGATAGATAAATGGTTCTTCTACTGACCTTTTATTATTTAGACGTTTCTGACGGAGTCTAAAACAGGGGGGAAACACAAACAACTGTTAACTGTGCTATAAAAATCTCAATTTGCAACTGGTGTTTACTAGAAACACTTGGTAATTTACCTGCATTCACATGTGTGATGCTCCACAAATGTGAGTTCCACTTCGTGCATAGATATCATGGGACGAATCCTCTTCACCTGAGAAACAAAGGAAAGGGAAAACTAAAACTGCATATTGGACCATATATTTAACATAAACAGGAAGTGCATTTTTAACACTTCCCTTTAGGTATTTCTGATGAATCATTTCTGATTAGAGATCTTGCTGCACCTGCAGAGTGATGTTGCGTTCAAGGGTAGGCTGGCACACTAAGTTCTCATCCGCACAGCAACCAGAGCATCGCCAAAGTGGGACACAAGCAGGTATGTAGATGTACTCCACTTCTCCAGGGTACTCCTGCTCCACATCCACCAGCTGCTCAATGGGCCGACACATGCTCTTTGCCCACACCTCCAGGAATGGCATTACTGCAAAACCAGTTGAATATTTAGTCTTTAAATCATTTACAAGAGGAGACTATGCCTTTTCGGCAGGAGATGATCAAGAGCACAACCCTTACCTCCTGAGTGGCCCTCTTCTGGAGGGTGTGAAATCTGCAAAATACACAAAAAGATAAGTAACAATTGCCATCCCTTTAATTTCATTTGATTTCAAAACATTAACATTAATGCCAAACATGGATTTAATGATAAAGAACCTGCAGAAAATTAGGAAAGGACACAAAGAAATGGTCACAAAAGTAGTGGGTTCATTGAGCAGTTGCATATCGCCCTCTTGTGGCAGAGAAGAAGTAGTGCACACACAATGATCCAGTAAAAACAATGATGCAGCATGGTTTCAGCGGTTTACCACTGTGCTGCTGTTTGCAAATCAGCAAAAACACAAAGCAGTAAAATGAGCCAGCCAACAACAAAAATGCACATGATTTCTCAATTTGTTGTAATACTGTTAGATTTATTATGACAAGCAGCAAAGAATGCAAAGAAAAACAGCAAAGAATAACTGCTGCCTTTACTCATGGGAGTTTTGACACACAGTAAACACAGCTAAAACAAAGGCTGTTCTGAAAGGTATCATGACACAGCATGAATTCTGTTAAGTTCTCACAACCCAGCCTCCACACTCACGACGGCAACGTTCCCGATCTTTGAATGGCATATTGAGCAGAAACAAAATTGCAAAGTTGATCTTGGCTCGCTTCTTCTTTTGAATATCAACAATCTTTCTCTGACTCTCTCTCTCCTGCTTCTCTCTCACTCTGTGAGCATTGATGGGAACATTGTCTTCTAAATGTCACACGCAGGGAATGCTTCATAGGACCACCACAGGCTTTATTGTGGGATTTGTATTCGCTCTAAGTGAATTTGTACTTGTGCCAGATGCAACACAAAGCAATTTTTCCCTCTCTAATTTTGTAACTTACACAAATCTTCCAAGCAAATGTGCAATGCTTATTATCATATGATAAAATAAAATAAAATGACATGAGATAAAGGTTGTTCTTGGCAGTCTTCTTATCTTTGGTTTCATATGTTTTTTCTCTCTCCCACTTTTCCCCAGCATACCTCCAATCTCTCCCAATAAAATTGTTGGGTTTATTGTTTTCTGATCTGAAATCTCATCTGGGCTGATGAGAGTCTAGTAAATCAAAGTATTTGTTGGGGTCCAGATTGGATCTTTTCTTGAAATTTGGGGACAGTTGCAAACCTATT